TGACTCAAATGACTAAAAAATGCCTATAAACCATATATAGATTCATTAAAATTAAATTAAGATGTCCTTGTGGTTCCTTGTAGTTTCTTTGTGGTTCCTTGTGGTTTCATTGTGGTTCATTGTGGTTCCTTGTGGTTCATTGTGGTTAAAAGACGTACCCGTCTCAATAAATTTAACCTTGGTTATCACGGTCATATCTACTGAATGAGAAGAGACATTCATATTAAACTTATGTATTAGAATATTTACCTGTGAGAATGGCATGGTTTTTTCTTTTTTTTTTTTTACATGTGACCTAGAAGTTTGACCAACTTGCAAAAAAATTAAATTGTTATAAATTCATCATTTTGAAAGAGAAAAGTTAGGGCATTCATATCATAATGCATGTATATTATTACCTGTGATAAGACCTTTCCAAATAAATCATGACTTTTACACTGTGACCTTGACCTTGAAGCGATCAAGCCTAACCTACTTTTCAAAAATGTTGCATTTGCTTATAACTTATGATTGAGATGAGATATGACTCTCATATTTGACATGTACATAAATTACTCATAAGAATTCAAGGTGTTTCCCAGCATGCGATGTTTTTTTATGCGCCCGAATTTTTTCGGGGCGCATATTGTTTTTGTCCTGTCTGTTTGTCTGTTTGTCTGTTTATCTGTTTGTCTGTTTGTCTGTTGTCAACTTTAACCTTGGCCAAAACTTTTGAACCGTAAGAGATAGAGACTTCATATTTGGTATGCATACTCCTCTAATAAAGTTCTTTCAAATGACATCAAGGTCAATGACCTTGTACGTTGACTGTGACCTATATGCTAAAAATAGGTTTTTCAACTGTTTGTCATAACTTTTGAACCATAAGAAATAGAGACTTCATAATTAGTATGCATACTCCTCTAATAAAGTTCTTTCAAATGACATCAGGGTCAATGACCTTGTGACCTTGACTGTGACCTATATGCTAAAAATAGTTTTTTCAACTGTTTGTTATAACTTTTGAACCATAGGAGATAGGGACTTCATATTTGGTATGCATACTCCACTAAAAAGGTTCTTTCAAACAACACCAAGGTCAATGACCATGTGACCTTGACTGTGACCTCTATACTTAAAATAGCTTTTTCCACTTTTTGCCATAACCTTTGAACAATAGAAGATAGGGACTTCATATTTGGTATGCATACTGCACTAATTAAGTTCCTTCAAATGACATCAAGGTCAATGACCTTGTGACCTTGACTGTGACCTCTATGCTAAAAATAGCTTTTTCCACTTTTTGCCATAACTTTTGAACCATAAGAGATAAGGACTTCATATTTAGTATGCATACCCCACTAATTAAGTTCTTACAAATAATACCAAGGTTAATGACCTTGTGACTTTGACTGTGAACTATATGCTAAAAATAGTTTTTTCGAACTTTGTTGACGACGGGCGCTTAGTGTTTCACAAACACATCTTGTTACCCCTTGACGTTGATGTTTTACATAATTTTCAAAATATTTAACTCTCCTAAAAGATGATTAGGCTTCTGAGTAACATTAAGGAAGACTTCAAGGAAGACAGGGCTTTTTGCACAAAAAACGTCATTTTTCAACCCACATTTGACCCCCTGGGGCAAAATCTAAATTCCAAAACCTTACTGCACATCTACATGACCCCACCAACCATCTCCCAAAAGATGATTAGGCTGCTGAGTAAAATGTAAGAGGAGTTCAGGGAAAACAGGGCTCTTTGTATGAAAAACGTTATTTTTGACCCCCATTTGATCCCCTGGGGCAAAATCTTAATTCCGAAACCTTACTGCACATGTACATGACACCACCAACCATCTCCCAAAAGGTGATTTGGCTGCTGAGTAAAATGTAGAAGGAGTTCAGGGAAGACGGGACTTTCTGCACAAAAAACGTCATTTTTCAACCCCCATTTGACCCCCCGGGGCAAAATCAAAATTCCAAAACCTTACTGCACATCTACATGTCACCACTAATCATCCCATAAAAGATGATTAGGCTGCTAAGTAAAATGTAAGAGGAGTTCAGGGTAGATGGGGCTTTTTACATAAAAAACGTCATTTTTCGACCCCCATTTGACCCCCCGGGGCAAAATTAAAATTTCAAAACCTTACTGCACATCTACATGACACGACCAACCATCCCCCAAAAGGTGATTTGGCTGCTGAGTAAAATGTAGAAGGAGTTCAGGGAAGACGGGACTTTTTGCACAAAAAAGGTCATTTTTCGACCCTCATTTGACCCCCCGGGGCAAAATCAAAATTCCGAAACCTTACCGCACATCTACATGACACCACTAATCATCCCACAAAAGATGATTAGGCTGCTAAGTAAAATGTAAGAGAAGTTCAGGGAAGATGGGGCTTTTTGCATAAAAAACGTCATTTTTCGACCCCAATTTGATCCCCCGGGGCAAAATCAAAATTCCGAAACCTTACTGCACATCTACATGACACCACCAATCATCCCCCAAAAGGTGATTTGTCTGCTGAGTTAAATGTAGAAGGAGTTCAGGGAAGACGGGACTTTTTGCACAAAAAACGTCATTTTTCGACCCCCATTTGACCCCCCGGGGCAAAATCAAAATTCCAAAACCTTACTGCACATCTACATGACACCACTAATCATCCCACAAAAGGTGATTTGGCTGCTGAGTAAAATGTAGGAGGAGTTCAGGGAAGACGGGACTTTTTGCACAAAAAAGGTCATTTTTCGACCCCAATTTGATCCCCCGGGGCAAAATCAAAATTCCGAAACCTTACTGCACATCTACATGACACCACCAATCATCCCCCAAAAGTTGATTTGGCTGCTGAGTTAAATGTAGAAGGAGTTCAGGGAAGACGGGACTTTTTGCACAAAAAACGTCATTTTTCGACCCACATTTGACCCCCCGGGGCAAAATCAAAATTCCGAAACCTTACTGCACATCTACATGACACCACCAACCATCTCTTAAAAGATGATTAAGCTACTGTGTAAAATGTAGGAGGAGTTCAGGGAAGAAAAGTGTGACAGACAGACAGACGGACGGACGGACATGAGTAACAACAATATACCCGAACTTTCTTTAGAAAGTGCGGGTATAAATACCGTTATTTTATGCTTTAAACGCATTATGATTTTCATATTACATTTTGTTGTCGACTTAAAGATTAAATTCCAGCATTATCTGGTAGGTTTAAACACCTGAAATGTTGCACACGTTAGATTTTGTGGATTTTCTGTTACGGAGGTTAGAGGTTACGGAGGTTAGAACCATCAATAATATCTTTATATCTGAATTGTTCTTTAACTTTCCTTACATTTGTTTTTTGTTTACTAGACATACCCATTGGTGTCAATCAACTGCCTTGAAATAGTACTTCACATAACCTCTGTTTCTTCACAATCACCGTCACGTAGGTTAGGTTCTTATATGCGACATTATAAAAAATCCATATCTTTAAAAATTTTGAACACGGTTTTATTGATCTGTCTAAAAAAAGATTCTGTGCTAAAGTTTTAATATATATTAGACACAAAAAACGCAGTTTTAGCTTTACTAACGATATATTGTATTATCTTAAAAAATATTCAAACACTGTAACGGTAGGTTAGGTGAAATTTGGCGACAGCGATGATCAAAGGTTTGTTTAAAAATCGTTATTCATTTATCAATGAAAGATTCATTTATATGATTTTGACATGTTTCTTCATTAATTTAGACAATTTCTGTTTGTTTAGAACAAAATGCGACCAGGTAATGCACACTCAAACTGCAAGGTATACGCTGGCGACATCGCCTTTTACACTATTCCAGGCTTCCTTTTGTGTGAATACTCGGACAAAAAATATCAAAAAATATCACAGCTAATGTTATTTTGTGTGACAAAATATGTTAACATAAAGCCTCAAGGAATTATTTGAATATTAGTAACCATAGCTTTGAAAATGCATTGGCGACATGACGTTTTTTCATTTGTATGAATTATATGGGAATGACTGATTGGATTAATCGATCCCTGTGCGTTATAGTCAAGTGAGCTAATCCCTGCTCCGCAAGCTAATTCCCTGTCATTTGTAATCCTCTATTTTTTAAATTAAATTTTTGTATCCATATAACATAACAGTTAGAATGTATATCACTGAGATTGAAGTTTGCTGATTCCAGTTCCCCTCATCGTCGCAAACCACGGCCAACATGTACGCTCCTCTCCCATTCTGGCCATGGTTCAACGAGGAGAGAATTCTTCGTAGCTCATTAAAATATTGACCAATGCAAGTAAAGCATAGTCGGACGAAGAACTTTATCGCGACCTTTCAATATCCAATCGCAGTATAGGAAATATTTCTTGTATACTGTTGACGTCAGTTGTTGATTTCGATTGCGATGGAAACAAAACTTTCCACTGACTGAATATGACGCCACAATAGAGAGGCGTGAATATTCAAGATAACAACACTTTTTGTGATAAAGCAGCCACGGGTAGGAGAGAGCTACATGTATATAAGCGGACTCCGGACCGTGGCTTGAGACGATGAGTTCCCCTTGACTAGGACTAACCATTTCCCTCGGCTGCACCTCGGCAAGTAGGGATATAGTCCTGGCCTTCAGGAACTGGAATCTTGCTAACTCCCTCAATGACATACTTTAACTGTATATTAACTCAATTGTTACAAGAAAACCAACCTTTTCTTACTGTTAATTTTTACAAACTTGAAGACTTGCAAAGAGAAATGATATGGCATTATGGTGAAATCCTGTCAACTTTTATAGTCAACTTTTTTAGAAAGAATAATTAGTTGTAAGCATACCATTTTATTTTTATTTGAGCTTTTAGTTATCAATTCTGAATTCACTTTGTTTCCATACAAGGACCTGAAGGGAATCTTAATCTTCCTTATTTATATGTATGGTACTCAAGAGTCAAGTGCACATGCTAAATTTGAAACCGTTCTAATGATGTATTTTGTTCAATAACAGAGAAGAAATCCTACTTTTGAAGAATTCGTTAGCTTTGTCTTTTAGTTCATCAGCCTTCTTCTTTACTTCCTCGCTGAGACTTTCTGCTGAGTCGCCGTTTCCGATTTGTGTGTCCGCTGGTGTCTCACTCATGCTGGTGTCGGCCATCTTGCTTCATAGTTACTTAGAGAGCGCACTAAGGGCGGTAACTCTATGTAAAGTACGTTTCTCTAGATCATTCCAATACAGAGTAGGCCTATTGACACATCTTTTTCTAATACTGTCTTAATTAAAGGTTTACATTGTCAATATTTCAAAACTATAAATTAAATAAGACCTTTAAACTCTATAACCTTGACCTTTTAAAGTATGACCTTGACCTGATAAGTTTTAGAATCCATCTTCCTTTTTTTATGCCATTTAGCTCACCTGCAGCTACAACTCTGTAATTTTTTTTCAATAAAGATAATGATATCATATTCTTCTTAACATATATTATTTACAAAGTAATCTATCATATGGGCCCCTGAATGAGTCGACTGAAAGAAGAGAAGAGGACGGCCAAAGAACACCTGGCTGACAATGTAGGCTCTGTTAATTAAGAGATCAAAGAGTTGGAAGGAGACACTAGCAGGTTGGTGGTGTTCTTTGTAGAATGGCCTTATGTGTCCTTGGGGCACAAAGAGGATATTAGTTAAGTAAGTAATTTAATTATATAGAAAATTAAAAAAAAATATGAGATATTTAGTTTGACCTTCTACATCTAAGATATTTCTTAGAGAATGGGAATCAAGTGTTAGGCCTACTAGTCATTTTCTGTCATTGTAAACATTTCTTCTCATTTTCATCTTCTTTTCAAGCCAAAACTATTAATGACACAAAGTATCCTTTGGTGAAGGGAATTCAAGTTTGTTGAAGGGGGTGGGGGGGGGACCAGCCCCACAATGGAGGATAAAAGTTTTACTAAAGAGTATACTTGTATCTATATTTTCAAGAACAGAAAAGCTATTTGTTAGTCATATTGTGAGACACTGTAACTTTAGAGGGCACACAATCAAACCAGAATATTTAAAGTTTATATTGAAATCCGACCAAAACTGTAGGAAAAGAGCATTTGAAATAAATTTAATTCACAGAAATTTCTATTTTTAGTATCCATGCCAACACTGTTTAATGAAATCTAAAACCGATGCACTTATAGTTATGTATTTTGGTGTATATTCTACTTGTGTGACAAGTTATTTTGAAATCAGACAAAAACTGTAGAGTAGCATTTTGTTACAGACTCCGTTGCATGAGAGATCTACATCTTTCCATGACATAAGTTCTGACCATTAGAGCCTAAAACAGGAGGCCCATGGGCAACATCACCCGAGCATTGTGGCTAGGAAAAAGTAGTAATTGGTTTACTATTGAAGAGTTTAAATCCAAAAGTTTGGCTCCGCCCTACCCCCTGGGGACATGATTTGAACAAACTTGAATCAACACTACCTGTGGATGCATCCATATAAATATGAGCAATTATGGCTTTGCTATTCTTGAGAAGATTTTAAAGAGTTTTCCTATATATTTCTATATGAAACTTTGGTCGGTCATTGTGGCCCCGCCCTACTCCTGGGGGTCACGATTTGAACAAACTTGAATCTACACTACCTGGGGATGCTTCCATATAAATATGAGCAATTATGGCTCTGATGTTCTTGAGAAAAAGATTTTTTAAGAATTTTCCCATATTTTTCTATATAAAACTTTGGTCGGCCATTGTGACCCCGCCCTACCCCCGGGGGACATGATTTGAACAAACTTAAAAAAATTTACACTACCTGAGCATGTTTCCCCTTAAGTTTCATCTTTCCTGGCACAGTGGTTCTTGAGAAGGAGATTTTTAAAACATACCACCAAATTTTCACTAATTCTCAATTATCTCCCCTTGAATGAGGGTGTGGCCCTTTATTTGAACAAACTTGAATCCCCTTTACACAAGGATGCCTTGTGGCAAGTTTGGTTGAAATTGGCCTAGCGGTTCTTGAGAAGAAGTCAAAAATGTGAAAAGTTTACAGACAGACGGACAGCTAGACAGACAGACGGACAGACAGCTAGACAGACAGACGGACGCCGGACAAAATGTGATCAGAAAAGCTCACTTGAGCCTTCGGCTCAGGTGAGCTAAAAAAGTGCTTACTGCTTATTCTGGGGAAAATAACCAGGTTTAATCTGCTGCAGTTCAGAATAAATATTTTAATGGCCGGGGTCATGGGGTTAATCTTTAGCATTAGATGCACTATTAGAGATGAGGAGGAACAGGGCATGAAACCCACTTAATTAATTTGTCAGTCAAGAAGAAGAAAACAACTTTTCATAAGAAAATATATTTATTGGTTGTACAAGACACTTTCTCTGACACAGTATGCTTCATTATTATTTATTGCACAAAACTCAGAGCCACCATAAGTCTTCTGTACTCTCTCCTCAACTGGACCTTATAAAAGCGGTATCAACCACTGGTCAATACCGGGTTAACTTGAAATGGAATCTACAGGTAAAATCAGCTTCATATCCAGCAAGGTCTTAATAATATTTAATTTACAATGTACTAAATGAGTATAATTAAACAATAATGTGATGTTAAAAATGGATATCACATTTCCATGAAAACACGTCATGAAAGAAATGCCTTGGTAGGCATAACAAAAAATCTTGAACATCTGGATCAGCTGATAGAGTTATTTTCACAATCTGCACTCATTTCTGGTTGAAGAGAAATTACAGAAGATAATGCACATACAGAGAAACAAATGTAAACAAAAAACAATATCCATTGCATAAATAAGTACATTCAACAATAAATATAGAAATGTATATAGTCTGTCGTAAAACCCTGGAAGACAAGATCTTTATTATTCAGATCTATTGCTTCTGGTTGGATCAATATCAAGAGAAAATCAAAGTACTGATAGTACTGAAACATGGAGTTGAAGAGGGAAATACAGCACCCATGTGTAATTGGCCCATAAGCTTACAGGTTTGGATAGAAATAAAAAGTATCTGCTACACAGATCAAATATCAAATTTTAAAGAATTGACAATTAAAATGAAAAAAAAAAATGAGTTTGGCAACCAGTAAACAAAGGCAAGTGTATATAAAAGAAAATGGTAATTTGGCATATTTGAATGTAAATATAAAGAAACTAAAAACAAAAAAAAATGAAATCATTTTAATTATTTTGATTCAAAGGCTTACTTGCATATTCATGCAGAAAAAAAAACCCAAACATTTGTTCATTTTACATGTAATGATCACTCCTGGTACATAATAAATGGTCTCTTAAATAAAATATGGTCAGTTCATGTATATTAATTATATCAAAGGATGATTAAATTGTAAGCTGTGTACAATATGAAATGCTGATAATTGAAAACCTGCAAATGCTTATAGGGATGCAATAGTATTCCCCATTTCAAGGATTTTGAAAGAAAAAAAATATTTGGCATTGAATGTTGACTAGATACATTATGGATAAAATAAATACCATGCTGATTTTCAACATGTTTGGTCACAAAGAAAACTTGATGCATGATTGGTTTTGAACCATGAAGATTATGTTTTCGAGACATTGACATTATTACATGTAAAATTTACATGACTTAAAAAAAATGGTCAATCTGGCCTGAGAAACATACACACATAAATGACACAATATTAAAATGAAATAATTCCTTCTTTTGTCCTTTGAATTTGATGTTAATGTTGTAACATAATATTAAGTATATCAAGCTGTAAAATAAGCAAGTGTATATTATATGGGAGCTGGTCCAAGAAAAAAATCATAAAACCTTTGTTAATAACAGAAAAAAAAATTGAAATCTTCACAAAGCAAACTTTTTCAAAGTTTTCCTCAAACTAACAAATATATAAGTACAGAAAAATGCTCAACATGTCAGTTGTAACCCAAGCTTCTGCAAAGGGCCAGCTTTTATTTCTGCATAAATGATGTACATTGTAAAAAATGAATAAAAAATGTCAAAAATTTTCAATACAGAGGACGTAAAAAAAGAATAAGTGAGCCTGAGGTTCGAAATCTGAGGCTGTCAAGTTGGTTAATTGAGCAATATATCTTGCTAATATTTTAATTAAGTTGTTAAAGCAGCAGAGAATATTGATAATAAGCTCTGATATGACAAAAAACTTTAATTTAAAAGGAATAATCAAGATATGGAGCTGACAACATTAACTTGCATTAAGATAAGGCACAAAACTTATAAATCTACTGAGCCACGGACAAACTAAGACTTCCTTCACACTTCTCTGTTTTGCTTTAACGTGATAATGGCTCCTCTGAGATTCTTTTTGATACAAAATGTAAAAAAAAATTTGCTGCAAGGACACCATAGATAAAGCAGCAAGAGTATTTCAAACAAATGCAAAAGATGACAAGAAATTAAACAAATTAAAAAATCACCAGTTCTAGCAAACAAACATCTGACACAGCTAGCATAGTGCCACGTCCACTACATTGTCTGATACAGCTAGCACAGTGCCACACCCACTACAATGTCTGATACAGCCAGCACAGTGCCACACCCACTACATTGTCTGATACAGCTAGCACAGTGCCACGCCCACTACATATCACATGATTAGATTGCACAGGAAGCAGACCGTCACGGTCTGGTTATATTAAAAACATTGAGTTACGACACAAAATCCATTTCAGACACATACACTCTCACATTCCTGACTTTGTCAGAATATTTGTTGGAAATATTTTAATGAACACAGCATGATTTTGGGATCTAGTCTCTTTCTATGGATGCTACACTAGCGTTTGTAGCGTACTTGAAGGATCATCAAAGAACACCGCGGAGGCACGATTCATGTTTATATCAGTGCTCTGAGGAGCAGGGATCAGGAATCGAGACTGTAGCTCTGTGATGTAGTCTTTTATTAGGTGGGCAATCTCAAAAGCCTGCAGGAGAAAAAAACAATTACCTAAGTTTAAGACATTCAAAAACAATCCATAGATTAACAAGTAAATATATATACAGGTATGTACACCAATTTACATACAAGACCATAACATCATTTGATTTAAACTAAACTGATCACATATAAATCTTAGTACAAGTAGCTTTATTGTAAAATGTTGTTATCCTCACCTGGTTTGTTGTAAACATGTATTTAATTCCCTTGGCGACATGACCCACAACAATCATAATACTGGTGATGGCTGGACTGGAGTGTACCACCTCAGTATATTGGTAGGAGGCAAGAGTTCTCTATAAATAGAAAGTGAAAGTAACACTTATAAAGTGAAAGTAGGAAATATAAAATGAAAGTGAAATAATTCATGTAGCATATTTCTGTTTCAGCATATACATGTACAAAATATTAAATTTTGAATAAGATGATAATCAATAAGATATTGATTCAGTTGTACTATTTCATAAAATTTTCAATGTGTTACATCAAGGGAACAAAACAGGTTTGTAAATATTCCATTGAGACTTACAAAAGTGTTGACTTCCATAAGGGTAATCCCTTGTTGATGAATGGCAAGGAGAAGATTCTTGGGAAGAGATGATGTGTAGTTTTGCTGAAATTCAAAACAAGTCAGTTTATTAAAGACAACCCATGCTTGTGTTCCTACAAAATTTCAGAGTCATATATGATATAAAATACATGCTATGAAATTTTACATCATCAAACACTTTCCAACAGCCTGAATTTAAAAAAAAGATCCTTTTACCTGCTTAAAAAATGTTTTAGTTGTGATTGAACACATCAATGGATCTACTTTTACTTAATTATATTGTTCTAAAAAGGAAATTATTCTAACTAGTAATCTACATTGAATTATTTTATTTTAAAACTTACAGAGACATTGAAGACTTGGGCCCCGAACAGAGTCCACTGTTTGAGGATCTCTATAAAGGCTAAGATGGCCTGGTTAGGTAGCAGCTCCATCACCGAGTTGTGAACGCACGCAACGTCCTCCAGTCTCACCGAGTCTCTGATGTACGCCGGCAGAATCCTCAGACAGGAGCTGAAACAGTTCACAACATTAGGTCACAGCTGTTAGATATAAAAACTTGTTTATACTGAGGGGCTGAAAGTTTGACAAAACCAGTATTTAATAAATATGGTGAGTGGAAACTTTGGCACTCTACTAGCCATATAGTATTTAACATCATTCCTAGGAAGATTGTTAAAGTTGTCAGTTGAATTTTTTTTTAAATTTGTCAATTTTGTCAATGTTTTCACATCACCAAAGTTTCCACCTGTACCGTAACAGTAGTTGACAGAGCATGGACCGTTTAGTACATATGCACTGATTAGGTTCAATCTTGTCTTACCTGTAGTCGATATCAAGAGACTGAAGGTCGTCCATTTCTGACTGGATTTTCAAGGCACAAAGTTTCACCTAAAAAATGTTTTATTCAGAACATTAGAATGACATAGAAACAATGTTTTACAGTAAAGGTAGAAAGTTTCAAAAGCACTAATTCAAAAAATAATAAAGAGAGACACCTATACATTCATATCCTCTATAGTATTACATTATATCTTCAAGTTGAAAAAAAAAACAATCTTCATCATGTGAGAGTTTATGATGAACAATGAATTTTTAACCTCTAAGAAGCAAACATACCGCCTCTTGTTGAGTGATGGGAATCTTGCTCTCCGCCAGGTCACCCATCAACTGATGGAAAACCAGGTCACACTCCACTGGGTCCAGGGGGTTAATGTACGGGTCAATGAACAGGCGCTTCTACAAAGGGAAGATAACTCTGTCAGCAGGCACCAAAAGTTCAAAACCCATAACATTTATAATACTGTATACAGTATTATCTTCCAACATCTGTTACAGTAACTCTTGTTTACACAGCATAATTTCTTAAACAAAACTATGACTGGGCGAATTTAAAACGGTGCAAAATTGTTCGCAAGTGCAAAAGGGCGAAAATAACACGGGGCGAAAATAACCAGTATACAGTATTATCTTCCCATACCTGTAACTCTTGTATACATGTTTGTACCTATTTTTGTTGACTAGTTTTAAATGTTTATATTGTGTTTGTACTCTTATGCCTCATGTGAGGCCTTGAGTGAAATAAAAGTTTTAAGTTTCATAAAGAAAAACACTTTATGACATATACAGTCAGGGTGTGTTACCTTAAATAACATTTTCTGCTCCTTTCCGAATCCCCTCCCAAGCCTCTCCCATTTACTGAGCATGTCTGACAGCCTCTCATCGTGTGCCATGTGCCTCTCTGTTACAAAACATTTCATACAAGCTTTAAATTACCAAAACATTTATACATGTACTATTACAGAGCACAAGAAATAAAACAAAAGATGTAATGTTTATTTGTCAATTACATGTGATGGACTGTTAAATTTACAGTCACTCTGCAACATATAAATTTATTTACATTTTCCATTACATATAATATGTTATGTGAAATTTAGTTTGTCATGTAATAGAAAGTGTTACACTTCCTCCTTTATATGTAATGGTTCTATTACATTTATCACCTGTAATAATTTCTATCACATTTACTTTGAAACATTTACAGTTCTGGGTGTTATACCTGATGGCCCTATCTCATACAGAGAGAAACACTCCGCATCAGATCTCATTCCTATCTTGGCTTTCACTGTCTTGATCAGCTGTGAAAACAAATAAGACAATGTACTATCACATATTGATCTACGAGGGGCGTTCAATAAATAATGTCATCAATCAGATTCCATAAAATTCAGGGTTCAGTTGATCTTTAGATTTTTTTCCACGCATGATTTGGTCTATAATCTATTTATGGCCGTTTATCTGACCACGTTTCATCACCGCATACTCTCTTGAAATCATGACCTGTGAAAATATGACTGAAGTCATCTTCCAATAAGGAAATTAGAGGCTACATCAAAACATGTGTCGGACTTGGTAAAGACTCAAAAGAAATTTTCAAGGAATTATGTGATGTGTATGGTAACAAGTGTATGTCATTGAGACAAGTTTTCAGGTGGGTGAGTAGATTCAAACACGGACAAACAGACGTTAAGGATAAGCAACGTCCTGGACCACCTCGAACTGCTTCAACCGATGCAATACTTGCAAAAATAAACAAAATCATCACTAATGATGCTCGATTAACCATTAAGGAGATAGCAAATTTAGTAGGTATTTCATCGGGGACAGTTTTCACAATTTTAAAGAAACATCTTGGTCTCAGGAAGGTTAGTGCACGATGGATACCCCATCTTTTAACAGAAAAGCAAAAACGATTACGTGTTGAAATGTCTCAAAAATTACTTAAAATCTACAAAAAATGTGATGCACGACGATTTTCTGAAATAGTTACAGGTGATGAAACATGGATACATTATTTTGAACCTCAGAGGAAAATTGATAACAAGATGTGGTTGACTAAAAAAGCAAAACGTCCTGTTATCGCAAAGAGGTGTCTAAGTACTAAGAAAGTATTGTACGCAATTTTCTTCAATAGTGAAGGTCCTGTGGTTCAGGTTGCCATTCCAAAAGGACGATCAATCACCGGGCATGTATATAAAAATAATGTGCTAAAGAAAGTTAAGAAACACTATGAAAGAAAGAGACCAAAGTCTGGAATCCGCAACATTCGACTCCTTCATGACAACGCCCCAGCACATAAATCCAAGATTGTGACGTCATTTTTAGAGAAAGAAAAGATTCATGTTTTACCCCACCCCCCCTATTCACCAGATTTGGTTCCCTGTGACTTTTTCCTTTTCCCCAAATTGAAAAAGCACTTGTCAGGAAGAAGATATGCTTCAAGGAATGCCTTGGGTTCTGCCATTCATCAGTTCATGAACACCATACCCAAAAAGCAGTATATAAATGCATTCAAAGCTTGGATAAAACGGCTAAAGTTATGTGTATCTGTTAAAGGAGAGTATTTTGAAGGGAACTATTAAAAAAAATAAATGAAAATATTTTCTTGAGTTATTTTTTTAACATCGATGACATTATTTATTGAACGCCCCTCGTAAGTACATGTAATAGAATGTTAAGTTTGGTTAAAAGGAAAAAAGGACCATGTAATTAAATGTAGGAATAAGTAAGAGAAAGGGTTCTCACCTCTCCACAGGTGGAGGCCGAGTCAAACTCTACACTTCTGTTCTCCCCATTTAAGAAAAACACCTTTTCAAAGATTGGTCGCCTGTAAATGAAACATAAAGCAACCTTCCTTACCACTTTTCATTATGCTCAATATTTTCTACTTCTTAGGGAATTCAATGTTTATTTCTAAAATACATTTTATGTTTAAATTCAAATAAGTTTTTATTAAAAATTGATTATAACAGAAACATGAATTCTGTATCCACCATTTGACATTTAGTGACTTATTGAGCAGTCAGTTTTAGGAAGATCAAACTAAGAAAAAAGGTGGGGCACTATGATCTTGACTAATACCCGCTTTACGTAATAAACTGGTGCCCTACCTCTCAGTCAGGCACTGAATCTCCTTCTGTGATGGAGGAAACTTCCTTCTCTTCTGTTCAGCAGTTCGGGTAAAGCACTGAAAAAGCAAAAGAATTTCTTTTAATAATTTCAGTGAAAATAGTATGTAGAGTATCCCTTCCAATAAGAATTTTCTATGTATAGACTTGCCTTGTGACTGGAGAATGTTTTATTTATAGACTTGCCTTGTGACAGAACCTGGAAAACTTGAGAATATTCTATTTTTAAACTTGCCTTGTGACAGAACCTGGCGAATTTCCCCTCCTCGGAGGTGGAGTCTAGGGAACACTTTCGGAGGTGACAGAGGAGGTACTTCTGGAGGCGACTGTGGGTGGGGGTCAGACTGCTACAGGCCACCGCCATCAACTGCCAGTTCTTCTTGTTCACCACGCTGTTAGGGTCTGTAACCAATGGAATATTCAAATCACTCAAATTAAAGTCAAATACAGGTAAATTTTCTCTGGTATATTCTCTCTCTTTAAATTTCAATTGAGAATACCTAACTGATTAAGAGTAGACCCATTACCAAGGTAAATCAGACTTGTTACCTAGGTGATATGTGGTTTGAGATAGAACTTGTTACCTGATTTGATGAGTGTGAGATAGAACTTGTTACCTGGGTGATCTGTGGTCTGTTTAATGAGCTGGAGATGGAACTCGTTACCTGGGTGATCTGTGGTCTGTTTGATGAGTGTGAGATAGAACTCGTTACCTGGGTGATCTGTGGTCTGTTTGATGAGTGTGAGATAGAACTTGTTACCTGGGTGATCTGTGAGTTTGAGATAGAACTCGTTACCTGGGTGATCTGTGGTCTGTTTAATGAGCTGGAGATAGAACTCGTTACCTGGGTGATCTGTGGTCTGTTTGATGAGTGTGAGATAGAACTCTTTATCTGGGTGATCTGTGGTCTGTTTAATGAGTGTGAGATAGAACTCGTTACATGGGTGATCTGTGGTCTGTTTAATGAGTGTGAGATAGAACTCGTTACCTGGGTGATCTGTGGTCTGTTTAATGAGTGTGAGATAGAACTCTTTACCTGGGTGATGTGTGGTCTGTTTAATGAGTGTGAGATAGAACTCGTTACCTGGGTGATCTGTGGTCTGTTTAATGAGTTTGAGATAGAACTTGTTACCTGGGTGATCTGTGGTCTGTTTGATGAGTGTGAGATAGAACTCGTTACCTGGGTGATCTGTGGTCTGTTTGATGAGTGTGAGATAGAACTCTTTACCTGGGTGATCTGTGGTCTGTTTGATGAGTGTGAGATAGAACTTGTTACCTGGGTGATCTGTTTACCTGGGTGATCTGTGGTCTGTTTAATGAGCTGGAGATAGAACTCGTTACCTGGGTGATCTGTGGTCTGTTTGATGAATGTGAGATAGAACTCGTTACCTGGGTGATCTGTGGTCTGTTTAATGAGTGTGAGATAGAACTCGTTACCTGGGTGATCTGTGGTCTGTTTGATGAGTGTGAGATAGAACTCATTACCTGGGTGATCTGTGGTCTGTTTGATGAGTGTGAGATAGAACTCGTTACCTGGGTGATCTGTGGTATGTTTGATGAGTGTGAGATAGAACTCGTTACCTGGGTGATCTGTGGTCTGTTTGATGAGTGTGAGATAGAACTCGTTACCTGGGTGATCTGTGGTCTGTTTAATGAGCTGGAGATAGAACTCGTTACCTGGGTTATCTGTGGTCTGTTTACTGAGTTTGAGATAGAACTCGTTACCTGGGTGATCTGTGGTCTGTTTGATGAGTCTGAGATAGAACTCGTTACCTTGGTGATCTGTGGTCTGTTTGATGAGTGTGAGATAGAACTGGGTGATCTGTGGTCTGTTTGATGAGTGTGAGATAGAACTCGTTACCTCGGTGATGTGTGGTCTGTCTTATGAGTGTGAGATAGAACTCGTTACCTGGGTGATCTGTGGTCTGTTTGATGAGTGTGAGATCTGGGTGATCTGTGGTCTGTTTAATGAGCTGGAGATAGAACTCGTTACCTGGGTGATCTGTGGTCTGTTTGATGAGTGTGAGATAGAACTTGTTACCTGATTTGATGAGTGTGAGATAGAACTCTTTACATGGGTGATCTGTGGTCTGTTTGATGAGTGTGAGATAGAACTTGTTACCTGGGTGATCTGTGGTCTGTTTAATGAGTGTGAGATAGAACTCTTTACCTGGGTGATCTGTGGTCTGTTTGATGAGTGTGAGATAGAACTTGTTACCTGGGTGATCTGTGAGTTTGAGATAGAACTCGTTACCTGGGTGATCTGTGGTCTGTTTAATGAGTGTGAGATAGAACTCGTTACCTGGGTGATCTGTGGTCTGTTTGATGAGTGTGAGATAGAACTTGTTACCTGGGTGATCTGTGAGTTTGAGATAGAACTCGTTACATGGGTGATCTGTGGTCTGTTTAATGAGTGTGAGATAGAATTTGTTACCTGGGTGATCTGTGGTCTGTTTGATGAGTGTTAGATAGAACTTGTTACCTGGGTGATCTGTGGTCTGTTTAATGAGTGTGAGATAGAACTCTTTACCTGGGTGATCTGTGGTCTGTTTGATGAGTGTGAGATAGAACTTGTTACCTGGGTGATCTGTGAGTTTGAGACAGAACTCGTTACCTGGGTGATCTGTGGTCTGTTTACTGAGTGTGAGATAGAACTCGTTACCTGGGTGATCTGTGGTCTGTTTGATGAGTGTGAGATAGAACTTGTAACCTGGGTGATCTGTGAGTTTGAGATAGAACTCGTTACATGGGTGATCTGTGGTCTGTTTAATGAGTGTGAGATAGAACTTGTTACCTGGGTGATCTGTGGTCTGTTTGATGAGTGTGAGATAGAACTCGTTACCTGGGTGATCTGTGGTCTGTTTGATGAGTGTGAGATAGAACTCATTACCTGGGTGATCTGTGGTCTGTTTGATGAGTGTGAGATAGAACTCGTTACCTGGGTGATCTGTGGTCTGTTTAATAAGTGTGTGATAGAACTCGTTACCTGGGTGATCTGTGGTCTGTTTGATGAGTTGGAGATAAAACTCGTTACACAGCTGATCACTGTCCATACATTTGTGGATTGCGTTCTGGATGAGTGAGGTCATATCTGGCTTCTCATCTTTACCTGAAACAGGCAATAGTTATCGTACATAACTATCAGGCAAAACTGCTTTTTAAATACTTCAGATTGTAAATCAAAGAGAAATGAATGAAATAAAAAAAATATGACATACAAGAGATACAAATTATGAGAAAATGAAATTTGAATAAGGTACATGTGTATTACTTTTTCACAACCCAAACTTTGTTAATAGTGAATAGAAAGCTTTGAAATGAATTGTAAACAAATTGTAAAACAAACTGTGAGTCAGTGAATTCATTTAAAAAAAAAAACCCACATCAACTAATGAAAAGTTGTAAACATTTGTTAAAAATGACAATTCTTAAATACAATCAAACATTTTTTACTGAAGTGCTATACTTTAATAATTCAAACCACCTCTTGCTACGTATTTCCAATTTAGTATACTATGGTCTTACATTATCATTTGATAAATAATTCAATAAATACATATATAATCTTGCAGCCTTCTCTATAATTAATTAATTATTGTACCATTATATGAATTACAGGATATAATATTTAAACATGATACAAAGTAAGCCTAATCTACTATAGTTTTACTATTACATGTAGAGTAAGAAAAAAAAAGCCACCTAAAACCAATACATATCTCCAATCCCCAACTGTTAATTTATCATGATTTCAAACCATTCAAGATGATCATTTTCCTCACAAAATATTTCTATGGATGTTAGTTTTAATTTATGTAAAATGTCAATCATATGAATTACATTATTCAAACTAGTATGGATTAAAGATTTTTTAAAAAAAATTCATGATGGTTTGAGTATCATGCTGAAAATTTTAATTATGTTTAGGCTTAATCACATTCGATGATTTCGTTAATTTTTTTCAGCATCAGAAAAAGAAAGTATACAAAGAAGCAAACTGAACCCAGAAGTGGATTATCTCCCCTTGGTAAGGTCATGACCCCACCTCTACTTACCACACAAGATTCGTTGAATGACCTCCACTAAAATTCAGTGTAATTCTGATTAATGGCTAATTACAGTTAATTATCTAGCGCTATCAATATAGCAAAGCTATTTGTGATTAGACTCTAATTTCTGTTGATGGCAGGGAACCCATCACCTTGACAACGGCAGGGTTAGTATGTGTACCGTTAACCAGTTGCTATGGTAACAAAACAACAACCTGATTACCTGAGTCAAATATGCTACCAATATGAAAGTGTCTTGCTGCAATATATTCAATAAATAAAAAATATGCTCCTTATAAGACCATAAAAAAAAACATTGCATTTTAATTACTTACCTTTTCTTTAAAAGACAAGTGAGTTTAAAAGAAAGAATTTCAACAGATTTTTAAGAAAAAAAGATCAGAATACATTAAACATTCATCATTCACATAATTGCGTAAAAGAACTAAAATATTACATTGGAGCATGCTACTCTCATAAATAAGGTACATATGGTAAACAACAAGTCTTAAATTTTTTTTCCATATTAATTGTGTGCATTTGAAGTTTTTTTAATGAAGGAATTGATGTCTCACCTGGCTCCTCGAGTCCTGAGTAAATGAGGATTGAGGAGAACATTTTGATGGCCTGCTCCTCCATCTGAGGGTCCAGGATCGTGAGGGCCTGTTTGATACACGACTTACTGAATGACCAGTAACTGACGTCAAACTGGCCGATGGCCATCGTGGAACTCCGCAGTCTCTCCATCTTAGACTTGGTCAGCCTATACTCAATTAAAAAAATCAAAGTACTGAAAGTATTGAAAGACAGTGGTGCATATATAGCATGCTGTCAACGAAAGCAAGACTATGCACTGAGATATACAATGAAGCCTTTGACATGTTAATGCTTTGGGGAGTACTGGTATTTCCTCCAAAGGAATAAAACTCTCTTGTTATACTTGAAGCTTTTGAAATTTTAATGCCTTTGGGGGTATTTTCTGTGAGTTTAACACCAGCCCCCTGGCTTTGCCTACCTCCTGATTGACTGCTTGAGGAAGTTGGCATGGTGGTGAGCCTGGGCTGGACGTAAGAGTCGACTGTCAGATAACGCTCGACGACAACGAACCAACTCCTCATACAGCTTTAACTTCTCATCATCTGTCATCTTATTCTGGAAATTAACGAAATAAATGTCTCACTAAAAAGGGTCAATCTTTCTCCATCATGATGAATTTTTTTTAAATAAATAAGCAATACCCTCATAATGCAAGAATTCATAAACTAAAGAAGCACATGCTAAACTTGTACAAAAGCAAGAAAATCTTTAAAAATAAAATTCATTTAAAAAGATATAATTTCTTAACTACAAACACATGTATACTTCTAGCTCTTACACCCTGTTTCAGTTAAGAACTTTTAACATAATTATCTGACCTTTTTCTTAAGACTCTCATATTCTGGTTTGAGCCAGGAGGCATGGCCTGGGGAATAGCTTGCAATCAGGTGACCAATATCTTCCTTCTGATTGGTCTCAAACATGAAACATCTCTGTTGACAGATGACCTCATTCTTCAGCTCCACAGTCATGTAGTTATCGTTAGGATCCATGGTGATGGACTCGATCTCAGAGTACATAAATCCATGCATGACATTCTTGTCCTTGCCGCGTACGAACTTGAGGCCGTCCATGTTGATGGCGAGGTACACGTCCCCCATGTGGTGCCACATTCCTTTGTTGAGGATATGGAATAGCGTACAGCCATACAGAGGGAACTGCTTCACACACGTCAGGTACCACACCATCGCCTCCAGCTCAGACTTATCCTTACCATAATGCTACAAAACATAAACAGCTTGGTCATATTTCATAGAAATTTTTAGATGTTTTCTACAAATTGTTAAGGGCTTTCCTTTGTTATCCTGACTCATGCTCTTACAATTAAAGTAGAAGTTGTAAGATGCAAATACTCGATGACCAAATCTTATAGAAGTTTTTGAAATGTGTATGTACCCTATGAGCAGATGAAGGTTTTAATTTATATTCTATAAGCTGTTGAAGGTTTTGATACACAAACTAAGCTACCGGTATGAGCAGAGGTACCCTATTAGCTTAATTTATAGGTTTTGATACATACCCTATGAGCTGATGCTATAGAAGGTTTTGATACCTACCCTATGAGCTGATGCTATAGAAGGTTTTGATACATACCCTATGAGCTGATGCTATACTAACGGTTTGATATGTACCCTATGAGCTAATGCTATAGAGGGTTCTGATACGTACCCTATGAGCTGATGCTATACTAAGGGTTTGATACGTACCCTATGAGCTAATGCTATAGAGGGTTCTGATGCGTACCGTATGAGCTGAATAGATAGATTTTGATACATACCCTATGAGCTGATGCTATTTCCTCATTCCAGTCCCTTCCTGGTTGGTTTATAATTCTCTTACAGAGGAACTGCTCTGCTTCAGAATACCTGTCAATCATCAAAACAACAAAGTCAAAACAAGTCAACATTATCAAAATGCTCTCATATTTATCGTCATCTGTAAAATTCTCTATAACAGTCATGGTGTTCTATGAAAGCAAATTAAAATTACTGTCTTGTCTGGATACTTTATGAGCTACCTGTGTTTTACCTGTGTGTTTACACCTGTCCTCACCTGTTATCCTTCCCCTCCTCGTAATTCCCACACACCACCTGAGCCTTATTGTACTACCTGTGTTTTACCTGTGTTTTACACCTGTCCTCACCTGTTATCCTTCCCCTCCTCATACTCCCCACACACCACCTGAGCCTTATTGTACTACCTGTGTTTTACACCTGTCCTCACTGTTATCCTTCCCCTCCTCATACTCCCCACACACCACCTGAGCCTTATTGTACTACCTGTGATTTACCTGTGTTTTACACGTGTCCTCACCTGTTATCCTTCCCCTCCTCATACTCCCCACACACCACCTGAGCCTTATTGTACTACCTGTGTTTTACCTGTGTTTTACACCTGTCCTCACTGTTATCCTTCCCCTCCTCATACTCCACACACACTACCTGAGCCTTATTGTACTACCTGTGTTTTACCTGTGTTTTACACCTGTCCTCACCTGTTATCCTTCCCCTCCTCATACTCCCCACACACCACCTGAGCCTTATTGTACTACCTGTGTTTTACACCTGTCCTCACCTGTTATCCTTCCCCTCCTCGTACTCCACACACACTACCTGAGCCTTATTGTACTACCTGTGTTTTACCTGTGTTTTACACCTGTCCTCACCTGTTATCCTTCCCCTTCTCATACTCCCCACACACCACCTAAGCCTTATTGTACTACCTGTGTTTTACACCTGTCCTCACCTGTTATCCTTCCCCTCCTCATACTCCCCACACACCACCTGAGCCTTATTGTACTACCTGTGTTTTACACCTGTCCTCACCTGTTATCCTTCTCCTCCTCATACTCCCCACACACCACCTAAGCCTTATTGTACTACCTGTGTTTTACCCGTGTTTTACACGTGTCCTCACCTGTTATCCTTCCCCTCCTCGTACTCCCCACACACCACCTGAGCCTTATTGTACTACCTGTGTTTTACCTGTGTTTTACACCTGTCCTCACTGTTATCCTTCCCCTCCTCTTACTCCCCACACACCACCTGAGCCTTATTGTACTACCTGTGTTTTTACAACTGTGTTTTACACCTGTCCTCACCTGTTATCCTTCCCCTCCTCATACTCCCCACACACCACCTGAGCCTTATTGTACTACCTGTGTTTTACCTGTGTTTTACACCTGTCCTCACCTGTTATCCTTCCCCTCCTCGTACTCCACACACACCACCTGAGCCTTATTGTACTACCTGTGTTTCTACAACTGGGTTTTACACCTGTCCTCACTGTTATCCTTCTCCTCCTCATACTCCCCACACACCACCTAAGCCTTATTGTACTACCTGTGTTTTACACCTGTCCTCACCTGTTATCCTTCCCCTCCTCATACTCCCCACACACCACCTGAGCCTTATTGTACTACCTGTGTTTCTACAACTGGGTTTTACACCTGTCCTCACCTGTTATCCTTCCCCTCCTCATACTCCACACACACTACCTGAGCCTTATTGTACTACCTGTGTTTTACCCGTGTTTTACACGTGTCCTCACCTGTTATCCTTCCCCTCCTCGTAATTCCCACACACCACCTGAGCCTAATTGTACTACCTGTGTTTTTACAACTGTGTTTTACACCTGTCCTCACCTGTTATCCTTCCCCTCCTCATACTCCCCACACACCACCTGAGCCTTATTGTACTACCTGTGTTTTACCTGTGTTTTACACCTGTCCTCACCTGTTATCCTTCCCCTCCTCGTACTCCACACACACCACCTGAGCCTTATTGTATGTGTTTCTACAACTGGGTTTTACACCTGTCCTCACTGTTATCCTTCTCCTCCTCATACTCCCCACATACCACCTAAGCCTTATTGTACTACCTGTGTTTTACACCTGTCCTCACCTGTTATCCTTCCCCTCCTCATACACACCACCTGAGCCTTATTGATACACTGTGATTTACCTGTGTTTATAGTCCTCACCTGTTATCCTTCCCCTCCTCATACTCCCCACACACCACCTGAGCCTTATTGTACTACCTGTGTTTTACATGTGTTTTACACCTGTCCTCACTGTTATCCTTCCCCTCCTCATACTCCACACACACTACCTGAGCCTTATTGTACTACCTGTGTTTTACCTGTGTTTTACACCTGTCCTCACCTATCCTTCCCCTATACTCCCCACACACCACCTGAGCCTTATTGTACTACCTGTGTTTTACACCTGTCCTCACCTGTTATCCTTCCCCTCCTCGTACTCCACACACACTACCTGAGCCTTATTGTACTACCTGTGTTTTACCTGTGTTTTACACCTGTCCTCACCTGTTATCCTTCCCCTCCTCATACTCCCCACACACCACCTAAGCCTTATTGTACTACCTGTGTTTTACACCTGTCCTCACCTGTTATCCTTCCCCTCCTCATACTCCCCACACACCACCTGAGCCTTATTGTACTACCTGTGTTTTACACCTGTCCTCACCTGTTATCCTTCCCCTCCTCATACTCCCCACACACCACCTGAGCCTTATTGTACTACCTGTGTGTTTACACCTGTCCTCACCTGTTATCCTTCCCCTCCTCATACTCCACACACACAACCTGAGCCTTATTGTATTACCTGTGTTTTACCTGTGTTTTACACCTGTCCTCACTGTTATCCTTCTCCTCCTCGTACTCCACACACCACCTGAGCCTTATTGTACTACCTGTGTTTTACACCTGTCCTCACCTGTTATCCTTCCCCTCCTCGTACTCCACACACACTACCTGAGCCTTATTGTACTACCTGTGTTTTACCCGTGTTTTACAAGTGTCCTCACCTGTTATCCTTCCCCTCCTCGTAATTCCCACACACCACCTGAGCCTTATTGTACTACCTGTGTTTTACCTGTGTTTTACACCTGTCCTCACTGTTATCCTTCCCCTCCTCTTACTCCCCACACACCACCTGAGCCTTATTGTACTACCTGTGTTTTTACAACTGTGTTTTACACCTGTCCTCACCTGTTATCCTTCCCCTCCTCATACTCCCCACACACCACCTGAGCCTTATTGTACTACCTGTGTTTTACCTGTGTTTTACACGTGTCCTCACCTGTTATCCTTCCCCTCCTCGTACTCCACACACACCACCTGAGCCTTATTGTACTACCTGTGTTTCTACAACTGGGTTTTACACCTGTCCTCACTGTTATCCTTCTCCTCCTCATACTCCCCACACACCACCTAAGCCTTATTGTACTACCTGTGTTTTACACCTGTCCTCACCTGTTATCCTTCCCCTCCTCATACTCCCCACACACCACCTGAGCCTTATTGTACTATCTGTGTTTCTACAACTGGGTTTTACACCTGTCCTCACCTGTTATCCTTCCCCTCCTCGTACTCCACACACACTACCTGAGCCTTATTGTACTACCTGTGTTTTACCCGTGTTTTACACGTGTCCTCACCTGTTATCCTTCCCCTCCTCATAATTCCCACACACCACCTGAGCCTTATTGTACTACCTGTGTTTTACCTGTGTTTTACACCTGTCCTCACTGTTATCCTTCCCCTCCTCTTACTCCCCACACACCACCTGAGCCTTATTGTACTACCTGTGTTTTTACAACTGTGTTTTACACCTGTCCTCACCTGTTATCCTTCCCCTCCTCATACTCCCCACACACCTGAGCCTTATTGTACTACCTGTGTTTTACCTGTGTTTTACACCTGTCCTCACCTGTTATCCTTCCCCTCCTCGTACACACACACCACCTGAGCCTTATTGTACTACCTGTGTTTCTACAACTGGGTTTTACACCTGTCCTCACTGTTATCCTTCTCCTCCTCATACTCCCCACACACCACCTGAGCCTTATTGTACTACCTGTGTTTTACACCTGTCCTCACCTGTTATCCTTCCCCTCCTCATACTCCCCACACACCACCTGAGCCTTATTGTACTACCTGTGTTTCTACAACTGGGTTTTACACCTGTCCTCACCTGTTATCCTTCCCCTCCTCGTACTCCACACACACTACCTGAGCCTTATTGTACTACCTGTGTTTTACCCGTGTTTTACACGTGTCCTCACCTGTTATCCTTCCCCTCCTCGTAATTCCCACACACCACCTGAGCCTGGAGTCCCGCTAACTGTAGAGCCACCTTGTCTGACACAGGGAACTTGTCCTGGCAGAGAATTCAAAATAAGGGACTTGTACACTTCTCATATGTTCTAAGCACTGGTACTTAGTGAATATATGCATAAAATCAAAACCAGATGCAATGAATTGAAATAATATTTTCAACACATATATATAACGAAGTAATAATTTTTCCGCTATATAAACATACATGTATAAGAAATTCATTAAAATATAGCTGGGGATCCAAGTTGACTTCATTATATCCGTGAATTCGCAATATCCGTGTTCGTACTAATCAAGTTTTACTGTATATTTAATAATGCTTGTCAAGACTATCTGATATTAATTAGCTATTATTACTGACTCTTACTGAAAATATAATGACCTTACTTATAAGGGTTCTATCAGGTTATGAGACAGCATACTGGTAAGTCAATATTGTAATTTATCACTCACCGATATAACCTGTTGTACGGCCTCGGCGTACAGAAGTCTGTACTCCACAGGGTCGTTAGGGATCTCCGTTATATGTTTGAACACTCTCTTCCTCAGCATGATAACAGCATCAGTACCACCCAGTGCCATTTTAGGTCCCTTCTTAGAAATTGTCTCATACTTACTCGGCTGGGCTGCCAGCTTATCACTCCTGCAAACAGATAAGTAATGTTTCAATGACAAACAGATAAGTAATGTTTCAATGACAAACAGATAAGTAATGTTTCAATGAGGTTTTTAACAAGCCACCAGCAAAGTATAATTATTTGTCTGCATTTTTCTGCAACACTGGATTTCAAAGTTTCAATTGATAAAAGTATTCAAACTTACATTTCCCAGGCAGAAAGAATGTCAGCCACGAATTCATACGTTCTGATGTAACGATCCAGGTCTGTGGACACCTAAAACACAAAAGGAATACTGAAAATTCCTCAATATATGCGTGAAATTAATCAATGTGTAATTTCATGAGAAGCACCACTCGCTAAATAAAATCACTCGCTTTTGTTTTTATGGTGCTAAAAATAATGTAAAATCTCTTGATAAGTCGTCCATTTGCGAATTATTATTCTCACGATTTGACATTGAAGAGGCCTTTCACGATAATAAGTATTTTCGAAAAATAAGGAATCTATGGTAATTAGTTGTTTTTCAAAAGTATTGCAAAGTTTTTTTTTGAGCAGTCAACATAAAAAAAGCCATTACACTTGGTAGGTCATTTCAAAGCCTAATTTCCCACCTCATACAGCGCCCATCCCTCCACAGACTGGAGTCCGATCTTCTTACGGACACTCTCTAGTACGTCCTCTGATGTATCGCATGGCATCACCCCCACGGCCTTCGTCTTATTGTCCATAAACGAAATCTTACACACCATCGGACTCAGGTGTCGCATACTCTGGGAAAAGAAACAGCATTTTATTTCGACAGCTAAATTTACTCTGTGATCATTTAACAATGATTTTTAAAGACGAAAATTTGTTTACCCCAGGTAGATCTTAAATGACATGAAAGTACTTGTGAAGCCATTATCTGAGCAAACTTTAATTAATTTGTACGTGAATGTTTATAAACACACCATGATTTCGGACATGGAGGGAGGGTTTTTGCGTGAGGTGGCCCGGGTCTTGGTCATGTGTTTGTGACACTGTAGAGCGTACTTCCCCACGATACTGTCACTACAGCTCTGTTTGATGTAACTCATCAGGTACTGTCAACAAGAAAAAATAATAAATTACCTTATAAGTTAAAGCATTTTCTTTTCATCTAAACCTTTAATTTTTAGTGCATTTTAATAAATACATGTACCTATATCAATTCTAGATAATACAAGTACAGTTGAACTTTGGTATCTCAAACAATGAAACCTGGAACAACATGGATAATATGTTGAAGTGATTTGGAAGTCCAACCCTTATTCTTTCAGTATTTTACTCCGTATTTCTCGAATCTTTAGATATAATTATTTTTTTTCTCTGTCCCATTTATGAGGTTTGACTGTATAACATTCAAAGATACTCATCACTGCCTTATCCATACAAATGATACATGTACAGTGTATTTGCAAAAGATAAAATCATTCAGTGATGTCATCTTGCAGTTTTATAATCGTCTTTGACCATAACAAACAACTATTACCTTGTGTAGTGTTTTACTGGGACTGAAGGCAGCAGTACATAGGCAGAGCAACGTCCACGTGGTCAGTAGCCATGGCCGCTCGGGGTTGTGTTTCGTCTGTCTCACCAGCTGACAGAAGATCTCATCTCGTAGCTCGATACGCTCGATTCCTGACTTTACGTACTTCTGTACGGTCTGTAGGGCTACATCATCCTTCACCTCGTCTTTGATGTATTTTGTGATTTCCTACAGTAAAGTATTCATTTAAAAACCTCATACAACACTGCAAAATAGACTAACTTCAATTATACGCTGTATATCTATTTACATGTACTATTGAATGCGTATATTTATCCAAGCAAAATTAATATCTACAGAGAGAGAAAAGGCCATATGGAATTTCCTTAACAAATACAATCAAGGACTAGACATGTATGGTTATTTATTTTAATTGACAAAGAGAGCACAGGTGAGATAAGGGTAATTAATGTTTGACAAACCTTGAAGAGGGAGCAGGCCAGATGAAGGTTCTCGTTGTCGTGGATCATGATGTGGGAGGCGGGAATCAGTCCGTTCTTACAGAAGACCAGCATCTCGTCCTTACTCACCATCTCCTTCTACAAAACAAACAATGATAGAACACTGTATCCTCATGTTAACAAGAAATAACATCCACAGCATCTATGTCTATAGAAATAATAAGGATTTGATTGACATAAAGTCATTAGCACTGTATATTCTGTAGATATCAATAACGATCTGACTGTGATGCTTACAGAACCGCTCTTTCTCTTGAGGTTCTTCATGATGGTTCCTCCCCCGAAGTCCTTGGGATGATCGATGAAGTACTTCTCCGCGTACTCCATGAAGTCGTGCTCCGTTTCCACTTCGTCTTCTTCCTCTATTGTACTGTTACGAGACTCGCGATGTCCGACGTCCCCATTCAGGTTATACATGGTACTAATCCTCTTGGCCCTCATTTGTACCACCTCATCACTGGGCCCCGACATCAATGTACTCAACTTCTTCTGCATCGTGGGAGAAAGGACCTCCACGTTAGATGGCGGACGGACGTCACCATTCTGTATCTTGATAGAATTGGGCCTCCTCCTTGTGACCATGCCTGTTGGGGTGGGGGGTGCTGGTATCGTAGGTGGGGGTGGAAGGACGGGCGGGGCTGGTAGAGGTCTGTTGACATTTGTGATCGGTGGTGCTCCTGGCATTTCTTCTGATGACAAAGGTGGTGGGGGGCCAGGTGGGGGTGGGGGTACTGGTATGGTGGGTGGTGCTACTGGAGGGGTGGGTGGGGCAGGGACTGAAGGAGGAGGGGGTGGGGCAGGTATGGTGGGAGGGGGTGGTAGAACCGGTGCCTGAGGCATCAGAACGTTTGCTGAGGTTTCAAATTGATCTAGTTCCCTCTGCATGTCCATGATTTCTGCCATATTTTCAGCATATGATGACCTGGAACCAAAAGTATCAGTAGAAGCTGTCATGGTGGGGGATATGGGGGAGACTACTCCTGGTGGAGGGGGTGGGGGTGGAATAGTGCTCTCTGGTGGGGGAGGTGGTGGCTCCTCATCATCCTGGAATAAAAGAACAAAACACATAACATTTCAAATTGACTCTGTGTAAGAAAATAACAAAGTCATATTTTTCAATTGGGGGAAGTAAAAAATTTAAACACATTTTTCAATGCAAAGACAAATTTTTTGCATAAAGCTCTCATGTTTCATAAAGCACATGATGTGCAGTTTTGTTCTCCTGTGCAGGATAACTTTTCCTAACTTTGTCTGAATGACTTACCTCGGGTGGGGGAGGTAGCTGGTCGAGTCCGGATATACTGGTATCCATGGTGACGGGAGGGGGTGGGAGGGTGTCGTCATACAGCTCCTCTTCCCCGTCCATCGCCTGGTCCAGGTCCCTCAGGGCTCGCTCCTGATTCTTCTTATACGTCTCCTCCTCATGTCGCTCCTAGAGAAAGGGAAAGATCTCATAAAAATTTCTCTTACTGTATACAGGGTTAGTTTCGCCCCGTGTTATTTTCACCCTTTTACACTTGCAGACAATTTTTGCCCCATTTTAAATTTGCCAAGTTATAGTTTTATATTTAAGAAAGTACACTGCATTCTTTCAATTCTCGCCCTGTTTTAAATTCGCTTAAGGCGAAAGGTGCAAAAATAAAACTGGGACAATTTTCCCTGTGTACAGTAATATGTTAACCACTGGTTGAGAAGACTGAACTCAGTGTTTACACGATCCTATTATCTGATCCTATATACTAACCATGTCCTCGTCAAGGAGTTGGTTGAGCAGTGTGAACTCAGTGTTGATCTGGTCCAGTGCCTGCTGTGTCTCCTGATCTGCGTCGAGTTGATCATCCTTCAGGAAGCTGAACATGTCGTCCAGGTTCAGGTTCGTGGGTGACATCACCGGCTGGAAGTGTTCACACATCGACTCAATCATCTTGGTCAGCGATTCTAACTCCTTCTGGGAATCTCTGGTAATGAAAACATAAAATTCAATAAGATAAAGCAAAATCATAATCTTCTTGTCAGGAATAATTTTAATGGACTAATAAATTACAAACTTACTGCTGTGAAGTACACCTGTACTGTTCTACATTCAAATTTGAAAAAAGATCATTTTAAAAATGTGTAAACAAGAAATCTCTGAATCCTGTATCCCTCTTGATCTCTTTGGGACTTGCTTTGTGGTGCTTTGTGGTAGAAGGAAATATTATCAAGGCTTTTTGATAGGTTTTATGCTTTTTGACATTTTGATATTTCTTTTCATGTTAGAATCTCTAACATGGATCAAGGAAGACAACTTTGTATCACAATGATGGATTGATGTACGGTAAAATGATTGCATGACTGAAAGTTCTTTTTTAATAATGAATTGATGTGATGCATGCATATATACTGTACATGTATGTGTATTGTTTTATAATGCTAATCAAATGTAAACAAAAGTTAAGGATTAAGAACAAACAAAAACATATTGTATACAAAAATTAACTAATAAACATAAGATGTGTATATATAATTTATGGAATTAAAACAATAAAAGGAAATAAAATATATCTCATGCTTTGGGTTATATTAGGATCAAATGCTTTGCCATTCAAGAGATCTTTCAAAACTCTCAAAAATGCTATTCATAAATTCTTTTTTAAAGTTTAATGTAAATTTGATGCAATAATGCTTTTCATTTAAGATGTTCTTTTAACAAGTTTGTCACTGAATGCCTTTTCAAACATCTAGCTTCTCTTCATATTACCTGTACCATTAACATACAACTTTCATCCATTCCAATGCAAGGGTTACATGTTCATAGGTTAAACCTTTAATGTGATATTTTAATTGAATGCATTCAATGATGATCAAAATGTTTTTGATACATGTCAATGAAAATGAAAAATTAGTGTTCACTTTCAAATGAAGTTTTTGCATGTCAGATGTAATTTAGTACATTTTGCATGATGTAAGTTAGAACATGTACTCCGTAAATGATCTTAGAAATAGATTTCTCTTTTCCTAACTTTAAGTGCAGATCAGGGTCTATTGGGGCCATTACGATGCCCAGAATATGCATGTGAAATGAAAGTAGAGAAGGGGATATTTAGAGATGAGAACCATTTACTTCACTTTTTTAAAGTTCTTTTCATAGAAAATATAGTGAAGTGGAATAAAAGTGGACAATGTAGAGCCAATGAGGAGAAACGAAATCGATAACCATACCCTAGAAAATCAACCTCTGTTCCTCTGAAATAAACATGTCTTAGTGTTATGGCACACTCAAAACTGTTACCGAAATAAATACGAGTCAAGTTACACGAAGACGCAACAGTTATTTTATAACATCGATTTTTAGTCACATTTCTGGATAGGTTAAGATTCACAATATCAAAGTTAGGAAGGAACTTTTTTTTTAAAATCCACGCTCATTAATTATGAAATTCAATGATTATGGAATTCTTTTTTTCTGAAAGAGATGAAATTACTATTAAAATTGAAAATAAAAATGTTATAGTTTTGTAAAAAGTGGACAAAGAGTTGGTGAAACATATAAATTTAAAAATAAATCTTGAAACAAATAGACTTGAAATCCACTGAAATGAAAATATTTGATATAACATCTAACAGAGAGGTAATGGTTGATAAACTGTGAGTCTGAAACACAATATACATTTACAAACACTGAGTTTTTTCACACAAGACAACATCCAACTATGACCTACTTTAGCCTTCGAATTAGTTCCGCTCGCGGTAAGTATCTGCAATGTTGACATACAAGTAGACGAACCACATTTATAACATTTTAACATTCTAAACAAAATAACATTATTTTGTGGTTTGCATTCAAAATAAAAATAGGAACATCTACTATGAAATTTGAAAGGTATAATTCTTAATTTCTTACTCTAAAATACATATATCTAGTAGGAATTAGGTATAAATAAAAAAATCAGTAAAAAAAAATTCATAGTCTAAGACATTTTTTGTCTAAATTCTTATTTACTGAAAGTAACTATAAATCATGTTCAATGATATCATTAACTATGCAAATGACAGTAAATGGTACTACAGTTAAAAAAAAATCTATTATCATGATAATAAATGTAATGGATGCTGGTGAATTTTAATGATTTGTGCAATAATCTGGGCGATACAAAAGCTGTGCTTGTTGATAAACAAGTGATAACACTGACTGCCCTATCTACCACTGCAGACATTAGTACGTACTTGAGAGATTCCTCGATGATCTGGCTATCGGCCGCCTCTTTCTCGCGGATTAGTCTCTCTTGTTCCAGCTCTTCTTGTCGTCTCCTTTCCTCCTCGATCCGCCTCTGTTCCCTCAGAGATACCACGTACCAGCGAGCAAACATTCCACGCACATACCTCTGTAAACAAGGAATAGGTAAATTACAGAAAGAATTCTTATAGAATACATCAGGTTTCAAGGTTTGTTTTTCCAACATCAGGCCACTGAGGAAGAGTACTGTAAATCTCACTACTTAGGTTTCTCTTTCCAAAAGATAATGCTATCAAAATTTATTACAATTAATTGAGCAGTTTTATGGGAAAAATCTGGTAATGTTTTGAAATTTACACACAATGCACATTCACAAGATGTAATGCCCACCTGAGTGACTAAATTGTCCCAAAGTAATGTTCACTTTTTTGATCTCTTTTACTTTGTAAATTAGATAAGTAAGTTTTGGTTGATGTCGTACCTGTATTGTAATGGCTGCTCTTCTCTGTCGTTTGAACTGTATTCTGTACCGTAGTGCTCTGAAGTTGGTCTGTAAAATAATCACTGCTTCCCTCTTCACCAGATATGCTGTGAAAAAAGGTCAGTAAACATCAATATTAAAATACTTACATCTTTAAAACACATTTAGCACATTTAGTGCAGAAATCAAGTGATCTCGGTTTGTTTTGGTAAACTAACAAATTTGTGCCTTGCTTGACTATTGTCCAAGTTAGGCACCCTACCTTTCCTGCAGTGGAACCCTCTCCAGATCTTTTGTATCAGTAGAGCATTCAGTGTCAGGAACTCGAACCGTCTTGTCTCCAGAGGTTCAAAGACCGAGTTCCTCATAAAAACCTGAAAGGAAAGAAAATATAAGGGTACATTCTAGCAGATACTGGAGATGTCTCCATTCACAGAGTGTATAATTCCAGTCAACTGTCCACATCTCCCACTTACCTTTGTTTTGCCGACCTGCCATTCCGTTTCTGGCAGAAGGAGAACATTAAGAATATTTCGGACTTGTTCCCTTGGCTCCAGTCCATCATCACACTTCTGAAGTAGGACTCCATACTTTGACAGGAAGACATCTATAGCAACATGGACTGGGAAACCCTAAAAAATAACAGAGGCTGCAAAAGTGACCTAAGAATTCTACTGAAATTCAAAACTAAAGGACAGCTCTTGATGGTACAAGTTATCAAAGATGAGCATTGTCTTCAGAATTTTTATATTTTTATAATGATTTAGTAAAATAAGACCTTCACCCACAACACAATAGTCATGCATTCTAATCTATACTTAATTAAGCTGCATGAAAATTTAGGACCATAAAAGTCTAGACAAACTAATTTTTGATCTCAGTCTCACTTTTTATTTGTTAATGTTATTACTTATTGCTATTTATGATGAGGAGGGTACCTCTTCCAAATTTGTAAATTAATAGTGGAAAAGTGAGACCGAGATCACAAGTGAGCCTGTCTAAGTTTTATGCCCCCCCCCCCCAGCCTGACTAAGCACTGACCTCTTTCTTGATCCTGATGATGTCCAACATCCCTGAGTACCTCAGCTGAGTAAGGACCTCCTCTGTGTTGAAGTTGTTAGGTTTCTTGGCCGAGTTCGGTTTGACACATCTAACATACCAGGGATTGGTACTATGGAGAATGTCTACAAGGGCAGATAACTGGTGCTTGAAGGTGTCACCTACCGTGGGTTTATTTTTGTTTGTACGTGATATCGTCTGTCTGCCACTGAGATCCTCTAGCCTTACTCCTAGCAAGTCCTACAGAAAAGATATCAAAGTATAATGTAGCTCCTAGCATATCCTGCTGGAATAACAGCAAATGTATGCTGTTTCTTCTAGGAGCAATAATAGTAAACATGTATTGCTATTCCAAGCAAATCCTCGAAGAAAAACAGTGGGCCTTATTTTACTATCCTTAAATCTACCCCTTTTTTACCTGGAATCTAGTGAGATCCTGTACAAATATGTTGGTGGATCCGTGCATCAACTCAAACAGCTGGTCCTGCTGGGTGTCCTTGTTCTTGTCTAGGAATCCCTGGACCGTGTAGGTGACCAGCCCCGCATAGTGGTGGATCCCGAACTCCTTCTCCCACAGTCTCCTATCCCCCTTAACGTAACACGGGTGTCCCTCAAACGCCTCGTGTTGTTTATGGACATATGATTTGTCTGTACCCTATGTGTAATTAGAGAAAACTTATGTGTGATAGCAAATGTTTATCCATGCAGAGTTCAAACATATACGTATGTAATTTGCCATTATAAAATAAAATGATTGAGCAGATTTGTGTTTTACCTGTGGAAATCTGCACTCTTCATCTAAAGCTTTCAAAATACACCTGGGAGCCTATCAAATATTAGAAAGCCATTAGAATAATGTCTTCCAATGAAGTAAAATACTGAGAGAGAAAAACTTGACAGCATACAAAGTCATTGTCTCCTTAACCATCATAAAGTTTCTCTGTTTTATATCACAAATTTCGTTTTCATTAAACTTTCACAACAGCGACGTATGATGTAATTTACATAAAATAATAATTTATTGTACACAGTTTAAATAAATGATCTGTGTTGTTTTCAACACATCACTCTGTATAATAACTTACCTTCTCTATGAGCTCTACACAGGCCGAGTTGTCAGTGAATGTGATGTGGGAAAACATGATTTCTTCTTCTTCATACTGAAATATAAATACAGAAATTGGTCACTGTACAATGACAATGTAAAATGATAGGCCCATAAGCTATAATGCTTGCATGAGACACTTTATGCACGAGTTCTCTTGTTATGACTCTAGAACCGCATTTTCAAGTTCAATACAATCATAATTCAATGAATATGAACTTCAATCTTGAGTTTTGTTCATATTAAAGTCCATATGAACTCCTACAGTAAAGCTCACTCTAGTCTATGGCACAGGTAAGCTAAAATGTTAAATTATGATACATCACTGACTTTGTCAATTTTTCATTCAAATTACAGTCAAATTTTGAAATAAAGTTCTTCATTTCCAATTGTTAGACATCCCCTTACCGTTTGTTGTTCAATGGCAAAAACATAATGATTGAAGAATCGGTGTAATTTCTCATTGGTGTAGTTGATACAAAGCTGCTCAAAGCTGTTAGTCTGAAATGTGAAGTATATGTATGTATCTTTATCAGACAATGAAATTTACTCTTAAACATTCTATATAAATGAATCAGAAAATGTCATATTAGGGAAATATTTTCAAGGTAATTGCAAGTTTTTAAGAATTTCACTGGAAATATAAACATATTATTTTTAATGAAAAGATCCAAGAAATATACCTGGAAGTTTTCAAATCCAAAGATGTCGAGGACCCCTATAAACTTGGTCTGGTGTTGTCCTGGGTTTGTACATTTGTTGATTGCATCCACCAGCCACGCAAACGTACGTGAGTACAGGGCCTTGGCTACTGCATGTCTATTATCACTGGCCTTTGGAAAAATTATGATAACATAAAATATTAGTTAAATTTCAGTATCTCAAATACTCTGCATATTTTGAAGTGAGTTGGCAGTCCAAACCACTTTTTGATACTTTATTAGTCTGTACTTTTACTGGGATAGCTCCACTCCAAATATATCTTGAACATTTTCTCTTGGTCCCATCTTGAATGTAATTACTAACTTACTTGTTACCTGTGACACCTTTGACATACAAGCCAGTAACTTAAGATATAGTTTCTTTAAATAGCTAGACTTGCACTTGATAGTGCATATAAAACTTTAAGCATTTTAAAATAGTATGGTACGATCTTGCAGGGATTCTGTACATTTATTCTGACTGAGTGTATACATTTACATGTTTATACTTTCTATTGGTCCAAAGTGATGTTGAGAAATGTTTTTATTGTTATGCATATTTTTGTGCAGTACACGTAAAATGCTGTGGCTTATACCGTAAATCTACATTTAATTCTCAATGTGCAGCTGCCTTGATTTACTCCCATCTGTTATCAAACTATTTTTTAAGGAAATATATAATGTACATGAAATGGAGCCAATCTGATAAAATTTGAGATCTATATAAAATTCCTGGGTACACATGAATCTCCCATGAGACAAACGGAAGAACTGGCAAATTATTTTAATGTAAGACAAATATGTAATGCAGTCAAAATGATAAAATTCTTGGATACATAAGACAGGGATGTAGAATTCTCAGATATATATAAGTATCCTTTCAACAAAAGGAAACAGATAAAATTAATTTAAAGAAACAAATATCTAGAAATAAAGTGAACTGCGATCATTATCACGTTGTACGGGGAAGAAGGATGTGACCGATGTTTTAAGTGTTTCTAAATTCCTTCAGATTTCTGTAAAATGCCATTTACTCTGGGCTATTTTTGTTTATAGATATCTATGTACACATTTAATACTGATGTTTCCTGTCCTTAAAACTTCAGTTAACTCATCAATAAAAATCATCAAAATGGGTATGGTTATCTAAGGGATGAAAATGAATTTTCTATCTTATAAAATGTATTATATTTATATGAAATCCTTTTCAAGTTTTGGTTCAATTTTGGTTCAAACTTATCAGGAAACTGTGTAATTGTTGAACATATCGATGAAAGTAGTTTTTATATTGTTTATGAGTGCCAAACTTTTATTGTCGTGATGCAGGTATCACAATTGTATGAAAAAAGTGCAAATATGTTGTTTTTTTTTTCTAAAAATTTTTTAATTCCCAAAACCTGTCAGGAAATACATGTCTAAATTTATAACATGTGTATTGAGGAAACTTAATTTCATATTGTGTTTGAGTACCATATAAAATTATTCATGTCAAAATTTTACAATTCTACGAAAAAGTGACTAAGTGCAAAAAAAAAAAAAATAAAATAGAAATGCAGGCAGTTATTTGTAAAAATATGACATACACACTTTTAAAAGACAAATATCTATATTTCATCAAGATGAATCTATCATTTCATACTACAAGTTATAAAATATTATTACTAACAGCTTGACTCAAAATTGGTTTAATTAAATTTGTAAAAATTTGTTTTTAAAATTGAGTAAACCAATGGCTGACACATCACGTACCTCTTGTATTTTGTAAGGTATACTGGTCACCGTCCCTCGGACCTGAATCTGTCGGAATAACAAGGCCTCGGTCAGTCCCTCCGGCTCGAACCCCAGCAGCTGACAGATGATCTCCAGGATACCCTTAGCTTCCTCCGTCAGATCGCTCTTCTCTCCCTCAATGTCCTCAAATGTAAGATTCCCGATCAGCAACACCGCAGACAACACCGAGAAAATACCGTCCACCATCTCCGCCGGAATGTTCAGGACGTTCATAGCAAGACGTAACCTGTCGAACATTTTACAATCGTCCACATTGGAGAGTTTGTAACACCCGCTCTGGTTAAGGTAAAAGTAACTGTCCACGGGTAACAGGTAGAACTGGTTCTGTATTTCCGGTGCGGCAGCAGCCCCTGCCACGAGCTGGTAGAAGACGTGGTAGTTTCGTTCCTCCGGCGACTGGAATGTGATGCGGGACTGCTCCAGTAGGTAGTCCTGGACGATACAGCCCTTGATCTGGTGACTCTCGTCAAAACACACCTGCATAAACTTCCCAAACCGACTAGAGTTGTCATTACGCACTGTCTTTGCATTACCTAAAAGTATAATTTTCAAAAATACATGTATCAATTTCATGTGTTTAGTATGGACTACAAACTTAATTTTTTTCAGTGATCTTCACACTTTTTTTCCACTGGGATAAATATAATTTTTTTTAAAAAATTGTTTGGTTAAGGGGCTAATTTAGTAAAAAAAAATTTTGCCTTGCAAGCATGATAAAATTTAGTGCACTTTTAAACTTAAATTTCTTTTGGAAATAAATCATGGCAATAAAATCACAGTTCTATATTATCAAGTGATCCAAATGACAATGAATCTTGTATTATGTATATATAATTTTTAAATTTTATTTTCAATTTCTAAAATGAACTTATAATAATTATATTATAATATTAAATAACTTTATACTTTGGTAAAAAAAAAAAAAAAGTTTATCCCTGACTAAAATTTTACATGCAATTTTTTTTTTCAGGGAAACATCTGATATTTATTTTGAAAAATTTCCTTTATTTATTAACTGTTTCAGTATTTTATTTATTTGACGTTTAGTATAAATTCCTTGTTTATTTATAAGCACGTAAAATTGACAACACGGAACAAAACCAGGAAGTAGAAAACTACGAATCTGAATCACTGACAATCTACTTCTGGTGGTACACACTTCTGTCTCTTGTTAAAACGCTGAGATGATCCTACAATGTCTTACACCGAGGGTCACACTCCAATCTGCTGGAGCCCCCTTAACTTTTAAATCTGTTAACCCTTATATCCTTCTTATAAACAAACAATTCAAACCCAGGAAGATCTAGACCGCCTGCAGCACAAACGTGCATTAAATTGTTAGTATAGCTTGTAAAAGTCAGAGGTTCTTAATACGACATGGCTGTTCTCCTAGTGACTTAATTTTTTTAAGTTTGTTAAACATATTCCTCCCCCCTCTCTCTCGAGATCAAGAGTTCTTCTCAAATAAAACAAAAATACAGTTCTCTTAGAGAAGGACTGTCAGAGTTAGTACTTTAATCTATTTGTAGAAATGCACTCAGATACTTTAAGGGCGGAAGTCAAATGCTCTTTAAAACGCTCGTTACAGAAATATTAATTATCCTCATCTCAGCTAGAGTCATGAGAAGTTCTGCATCCTACATCATCTGCGGAAATCAGGCTCCTCCTGAGAAATCTCTTCACAATTTTCCATTTTTTAGTCAAAGTTAATCTATCAATTTTAAAAATTTCCCATCTCTTCACGTATATAATATGCTATCTTATAGTGCTATTTTTATACATCATCTGCCTGGTGTAAAACCTGATTTAAGCCAATACCTTGGAAATGTGAGAAAAATCAAAACTAGCATAAGAGAGATTTTCTGCTTCGTGTAAACATATATTATACATACACTAACACATGATGTTTTGAGAGAACTCAGGTACTAAAGGGACTGATTTAGAAGAGAACTTTAGATTCCAATCAAAAGTTGGACTTTATCTTTAATGCTGCAAGCTATTTAATGATGTTAAAATAAATAGCCACCTGTCCGCTAATTATTCCTATCATGATCCTAAGTTCAAGGTGCAATCATATTCTGTCATTGTTTATTTTTTTTTATATGGGGAAAAGAAAAACAAGACTTTGCCCTTTCCTGAACCTCAGTACTGTAAATCACTTTTTATACGCGAGAACTTTATTTTCGCGTAATTACGCGAGACAATGCGTTCGCGAAAATTAAATTCTCGCGTATAAAAGTATTCCTTACGATAATATAGATGAATAACAATTATTCGTGAAAATTAGGCTTCGCTTACAAAGAGTCAATGACAATCTCGCGAAAATAAGGTGTCGCGAAAATTTAGTGATCTACAGTATTTATAAGCATGTAAGTTAACATCACACTACTGCTAAACAACCTTGACCTTTGAGCTAATTCCCCTCACAGCTAGGGTAATTTAACTGGCTTATGACCTTGACCTTTGAGTTAATTATAATCTTCACAAGTTCTTTGAGATTAAGGGCAACAAAAAATTATTAACTTTGATTCCATTTACAGAATCTAGATTCAACAATTTCATCATCTCACTGTCTAGTGACCATTATCTTTGATCAATGACCTTGGGTCAAGGTTATATTAAATTTTTAAATCAAGGACAACAAGGATTAGATTTTGAATGCATATTAGTTGTTATAGGTCAGACCTAATTTCAACATTTCATTTCCCAGTGACCTTTACCACTGCAATATGACCTTGACCATACAAAAACTCACTTTTAGGTCAAGGACAATAACAAAACAGAAATTGATGTTTAAACCACCTTACAATATAATTGCTCACTGACCAAAGAAGTTTTGAATCAGAAACAAAACATACCAAAAGCTTCCAGTACGGTGTTGGCTTCAAGAATCTGTTGTTCTACCCAGAACGACACGTGATTGGTGACAGAACACAGATACTGCAGGATAAACTTGGTTGTCTCCGTCTGAAAAACAAAAGAAATATTTCATATCTGTTCTGTCTTATTACCGTTATTCCTCAAGAGAAGTAGATTACACTATAATACTAAATGAAGTGTTCTTCTCTGTGAACATTAACTACATACTGAGTCAATTTTTTCTTAGTACATATACTTTTAACTTAAAGATTATAGATTATATGGTGTTGGAAACTAATGTAAACATATATATGACATAATTTTTCTCTTTTCTTTAATTTCTAGTTCTTTTTTTTTTAATTAAAAAGGCAATACAATGAAGTTGGTGTACTGACAATAGCAGTACTATGATATTTCTGGAGTGAATCATTTTAAAACAAAGTTCAGAAAGAACTTCTTCAAGCAAACCAATTTTAGTAATGTATCATAGAGAACAAAATAACAGATCAGACAATTGAGAGTCCAGACACAAAGTTATACTCAGATAAAACAAGCAATCCAATCTAACTCTTGTTAACCCAAACTCTTTCTCAGGGAAGACCTAGAATAACTGTCCTGATATTTTCTACATTGATCACGTACCATGGCAATATCTGATCCATAAGGATATTAACATGTCATAAATGGGAAATGCAATTGTGAAAGGGAAGACAAAATGGTAAACCACCAAATTAAGTCGTGTGATCAAACTGACAGTTTGGAAATTCAGTGTAATTATAATGCTACCTTCTACTGGACTTTTGCTCTCTCTCTCTCTTTCTCTCTCTCTCTCTCTTTCTCTCTCATTTAATCTGTTTCTCATTAATTCTCCCACCCTCCCCTCCCCAGGAAAAGAAGTATATAGTCTGCTTTCAAAGATACCTTTAAATAACCAGCAATTCAGTATTAATACAGTGCAGATGTAAATATATCTAAAAAGGTCAAGCCAACATAAAACTGCATCTGAATCAAGTTAATAGTAACATTGGAATATAATAGAGAAATGTCATGGATGCTGTAACCCTATAAAAGGCATTAGATGACTAAAATACATGTAATAAAACAGAGGGTCAAAAACAATACACATCCATAATAAGGAGCTATTATCAAGATTATAGGGTCTGGTCGATTCTGCTCTGATGGTAATCAAAGACAATAACATGATGGGGTTGTTATACAGTCTGATACAGAAGGGGCAGTTCATTTCCAGCCATTACAAAGAGTAGATTCACTGCATATCAACACGGAACAAATCTCTGATTTACTGATTTAGATATTTGTGATTTACTGATGCTCCACCAAACTCAGAATAAGAATAAAGAAATTCAATAGGCCTACTTAGTGCAGTGCAGTTCTGCAGGCTCTGCACTCATTTCAGGGATAGCTTGCCAAATTATTATAATGCTGGGACTATATGCTTGTATTTTAGACTGTTATTGGACACTTTACCCTCACTTCTCTTGCAGTAAATGGGAGGATTAGACCGGCATGCAGCAGTCTCTATTGATAACGACAGGATGTTAGAGGCTTTCTTAAAAGATATGCTGGTTTCATGGAGTCATTTATCATTGATTATTCATCAACAGCAAAAAAGAATGCAAAGCAATTACTCCCATTTTTTCTTAACAAGAGGTGACTCCTCAGATCATTACACAAATCACATGCAGGTTCACTTCCCTCTGTAACATTACTAGAGCTTCAAATTTGTGTGTGTGCATGTAAAACAGAATTTTATTGCCCATAAAATAAAACCAAGAAATCTTTTTTTATGTTTGGAAATTGATGAATGGGAAACATTTCTTCCGTATTGCGAAAGAAAGAAAAGGGAAATGAATTTATTCATCAGATAGTCAATAGTTTGATATTTTCATTTGTTTTCAAAGATATAGTGACTAAAACACCTTTTGACCTCAAAACAGTCCCTCAAGCTATGTACAGATAACCAGATATTAATAAGTAAAACTTTACTGTATGTGCAGATTCCCGTACTTTTATGATGTGTAGGAGAAGCATTTGGTCATTAAGTAGTGCAGTAAGTGATAATCAACAGGTAGAATGTGTTCACACCTGTCAGGTAGCCGTGCCAGGTAACATGCTCAGGTAACACACCTATATAACACTGTCCACCACTCACTGAGCTAACCTTGACTTAGCTGGGGTCAATAAAACTGATTTATGACCCTACTGCACCACCAATAACACAACCCCTCTATGATATTCCCGTTTCTCTATGTGGTGGAGTGTTTTCTGTTAAAACACAGTCTTGTTGATATGACCCCATACCACAAAATGCCTTGGGGAGCCATTCAATAAGGCAGGCATGCAAGTGATATTGATCTCAAAATAGATTCCACCCCCCCCTCAAAATAGCATGAGTATACAGATAGCACAGAGATTTCAATGGATGAGTGAAAGTGAGGATTTTGTTTCAGGTATGAAAATGCCTATAAAATAGTAACAGAGCTATGTCAAAAATGAATGTGGTTTTGAAAATATCCAAAGTATTCCCTGTGTTCCCTTAATATTCAATGAAGTCCCTAGCTTCCTGTATTAACTTTCAGGTCAAAGTCCCCCCTTATTATACGAGTATTATATTTTGGGGTCTTGGCATAAAATACCTGGGGGTCAATATGTGGTCTGGGTACCTGTAACACCTGGATAAGATCAGTGAATTACAGGTATTTACAGTGCACCAATCAACAGGCACACGCTCTCATCTACTCAATAACGTAATTATATTTGGCATGCAATAGGCTCATTATATCCTGATAAAATTATACGCTTAGAGTACTCTCTCACACTCGACTTGAATTTCCTCCAGACATCCTATACATACTCAGAACCCTCTCTGTTTTATAACAGAGCACAGTTCCTCACCACTTCCACTTTATACGCCTTCCTGTTTGTTTTATAAAAACGGATTCGGTCTTTATTTCCTTTTTGATGCACAAACATATTTATTCCATTGGCTATCCATCTCTATTAACATTTTGTTTAAATACAACTCAAAAAGGAACAAAGTAAAACATTCAATCAGAACAACCTTAGGTCACTATAAACCCATCACCTAACTCTTTATAAAATGAAGGATTACTTCTAATACACTGTAGAGGCAGCTAGGAAAGAATAACAGATTTTAATCAACTTTCAATCAGAAATACAGTGATATAAGATGCAAGATGAATATTTACCCAATGAATATTACTTAAAACCCTCATGGTGTTAATGTTTTACTGTGTTAAACAGTACTTTAGATAGCCCATCAGTTCCCTACAGAGGTTAAATACTTGTGTTCATAAGTGGTAATAAACTCATACAATAAGATGGCAATATTACAAGAATTCGAATGTCATATCTGATTCTGAATATTTGTATGTGTGTGAAAATAAATACTTCTCAGTTTTTCTGATCAGATTAATTGAGTTCTGACTAACATTTAGACAGAGTTTAATGTTCTTACAATGTCAAAACAAATCAAAAGGGAGATAACTTGACATTCATAGAAATTTATGCATTTATAACAAAGACAAGAGAGACATAACTCTGCATAACTACTCATTTAATCCATGGATGAACTCAGACAAAAGTTGGTGAACTAAAACAAATCACCCAGTCTAACAGTAATAACTGTCACAGAAATTAACATCATCAGCTGTATTGTTTGTCACATTTAATATTAAAGGATTGTTTTATTTTTCTAATCTTAATCATCAAGGGGCATAAATCTGAATTAATCAAGGGACATAACTCTGATGTAATCTTTATGATCAGGGGACATAACTCTGATGTAATCTTTATGATCAGGGGACATAACTGTGTATTATACCTTTCCAGCCCCGCTCTCTCCGCTGATGATACAGGACTGATTTTTCTGTGAGCTATGGAGACTCTGGAATGCCGCCTCGCTGATTGCAAACACATGTGGCTCCACCTGGCTGAGTTTCTTACCACTAAACTCAGAAACATCTTTCTGTAAAGAGAGAAATGGACTTAAGAGATTTCATAAAGGTCCCGTTTTCTGTGTGTGTACATGTTAATTTTGTTTATGATGACTTCCTGAGGGTTATGGCATTCATCACAAGAGAAATAGAGTTTCTTTAAATAAAGCCTCCTCTGGCGAGATGATGGATAGAGGCAGTTAGATCGTTTTCTAAGTTGGATCTGATAACATTAATCTCATACTTCTCAATATCAGCTCAAAATCTGCTATAGCTTCTTGTAATTTCTTTTGGCAGGAAATTTTAAACAAAGGAAGAAATGCAGAGCAAACAGGTTCAGTAACACAAGGTATTGGAAATAAAATTGATTTCTCATATCGGGGAAAGATTAATTTCCATGAACTTTTCATCTGACTGCCAAATGCCAATTGTATTTGTATTTCTGATGATATCATTAAAATGGATTTGGAGGACAGACATCAGTGTACGTGCTATTCCAATTCTATTCTACACTCTATTTATTTCCCTAATCTAAGCCACATCACTATCATTACATCAAACAGATAAATCCCTTGGGCATGCATCTATATTGTACTTTAATTAATATCCACAAGAGTTTTTTTTTCCTTTAAAACAAAGGAAAATTGAAATGGCTAATGATGACAGACTGTATAATGTATTTACTGAGAACGACAGTGGATGACAGTACTAAACCCATCAATAGAAAACTAAATATCATCACGGAACACCACATAATCAATACTCCCCCAGGCCCCTATTGTGTAACAAGCCTCCACCCCAGCGTTTGATTTGATCCACCCCCATCTTCCTTCCTGGTACATTACTGGAATACACAGTCCTATGGTAATGGGGGTAATGAGGAAGAGAGATCAATAAGAGACCATATGATTCAGAGCCCCCTAGGGAGACAATTCATTCCTATTAAATATTGATGATGTAATGGCTGGTCCCCAACATGTGATAATGTGTGTGTGTGGGTGATGTCTCCACTGCAGTCTGATCACTACACAGCAGGGTTTTTTTTTTTTTACTTGTTTTTTTTGGGGGGTGTTTTTTTTCCAGGGGGGTGGGGTGGGGTGGGGTGAGGTAATAAAGAGTCATATTCATCTTTAATGTTCTGGGTTTTTTTTTGCTTGTGTGTGTTTGTGTGTGCGGGAAGGGGGGGGAGAAGAAGGTCATCTTTTAAAAGAATGGATATGTATATGTGTAAATATATACAGTGTATATACTATACCTGATCATAGATAGGCAGGTCTTTGTACGGATTCACAGCTACCAGTATAGAACCTGTGAAAGTCTGACAAAAAGTTAAGGATGATTTGTTTACTCTATAAATATGAGCATAATAAAACGCTAAAAAAACCCTTTTGTTTACCTAAAGTTTGTCAACAAATCTTTTTGAAGTTAATGCACCTGATATACACATAAACAATTAAAGTGTGCATGTGTTGGTGTATGTGTGCAGTGTGTTCTAGGTGTGTTACAGGTGTATTTAATGAAATGTGATACAAGAGTAAATGCAGTTATCACAGTTATTTTCAGGTCCCATAAAACTTGTTACCCGTTGTCAGAGAGGGCAGGTGTGTTCAGAAACCACTAACGTTAACCAGAACTGCATGTGACGAGCGGGTTATTCACAGCCACTGCTTAACATCTGCCACCTTACTAACTACAAAACCAGCCTTTTATACAGTAGACTATCATAATCATTACGTTCACACAAAAAAACAAAGTAAACTATGTCCGCAATTTGGTCTTCACAGTTGAATACCTGATGTGTTCCTCTCACTGGCGCATGCGCTATCGAGGCAGAATTTTTTGGCGTGGTTATCCATGCCCATTAAATCTTAATCAGACCAGCTCATAAATTCCATAAAAGGAAAAATAAATGTCAAAAGAGGCATTACACAAAAACTTTCGTTTTTCACTTTTGATATGTCACCGTCAATAACTTTATTTATATAAACAAAATCAAATAGGATTTTTGTTATATCTTTTGTAAGATGTTTTAAAAGAATATAAAAACTGAAAAATATTCTGAAAAATAAATTTAATTCACCTCAAAAGTTTACCCTGCGTTTCTTTTTCCTTTCAGTATATATAAACCTTGTTGGCAATGAAATTGTTCCGGTTACTTTCCTTTGCTTCCTTATCGATGTTTATTCATATTCCATATCTATCAATCCATTTTACCACTATTAAAACACATATATATATTGTGAATGCTTAAAGATATCTGCACGCAATATCTTGAAAGTTTTTACGTGTATTAGATAATAAAAAAATTAATTAAATGAGCTAATTTCTTTTTTAAAATTTCATCAAACTTTTTATGATATATATTATTATTTCATGATCAAGGAGAATAATTATTAGATATTTGAAGACACTGTTTTAAATGGTAGATTTAAACACCATGAATAAATTACATTTTAAAGAAATTATGTTCTTTAACAACCTATACAAGCTATACACATTGACTGGCATTTTGTTAAATTTTTTAATGATCTTGCTCAAAACTTGATATTTAATATCAAGCAATTAAATGAGATTATATATCAGAACGAAAATATTTAATAAAACACTACATTAAATCTAACGGTAAATTTTTCCTATGCTGCTATAACTGAGATAACTTGAAAAAAAATTCTTTTGATATTAATTTCAGTATTTATGACATTTATCAAATACTCTCACTGTGACACAATTCTGCTTTCTTTAGGACCAAAGATGCCAACACTAATATACAGTGTATATACTATACCTGATCATAGATAGGCAGGTCTTTGTACGGATTCACAGCTACCAGTATAGAACCTGTGAAAGTCTGACAAAAAGTTAAGGATGATTTGTTTACTCTATAAATAAGCATAATAAATAAAAAAACCCTTTTGTTTACCTAAACAATAATCTGAAGTTCATGTGATAGCCATAAACCAATTAAGTGTGCATGTGTTGGTGTATGTGTGGGTGTGTTCTAGGTGTGTTACAGGTGTAATATGGTGTGATACAAGAGTAAATGCCGAGTCTATCACAGGTATGTCAGGTGAGTAAGAACTGAGCCTAGCACTGAGAACAGGTGTGTCAGAAATCACTCCATCGAGCCAGAACTGCTGTGATCGTGCTCACAGCCACTGCTAACATCTGCCGACATAACACAGATTGAGTGCAGCCTGATTATCAAAGGATTAAATCGCCTCACTTAAAAAACAATGTATCTTGTCAGGTCCAGATCAGGTCTTCACAGTTGAATACCTGACGGGGATCCAGACATTCTTGTCTATAGAGGCAGAACAATCAGGCCCATCAAATCTTAATCAGACCAGCTGATAAATTCGTTAAAATCTGTGTTAAAATCTAAATCAAAAAGATACACAAAAACTCTTGTATTAGAGATATGTCCCACCCTTTAATTTATATAACCTACATAAATTACATATAGGACTGCAGACTGATGTAGCACATGTTTATCAAAGAATATAAAAACTGGGCAATTTCTGCAGGTTTTGCTCCCCTCCCTGCTGCGTAGCACGTACAGCGTAAATAAAAACCTTGTATCAATGAAATTGTTCCATCTTTCCTTTGCTTCCTATCGATGTTTTCACTTCCATCTCTATAATCCATTCCACTATTACAGGACCTATATATATAGCTTTGGGGGGTTTAATTACTGCCAATTCCCCCTAAATGTTTTTGTTTTGTTTGAGAGGCTTTGCAGACTGAGATAAAGTGAGCTAATTTCTTTTAAAAAATTATCGAAGTCAAAATAGTTTATGAAGTGTTACTCTATTTATGAACAAGATAATTACACATGTATTACTATTATCTGTGAAGACACTGTTTTAAATGGTAGATTTAAACACCAGAGATGAATAAATTAATTAAAGAAATTATGGAATAACAATTTCCAGGGTAACACATACACATTTCACATTGTGTCTAGGAAATCTGATATCTAATTAAGAATTAAATGAGATTATATATCAGACTTAAAATATTTAATAAAACATACAACTCGAGTATTTCTTTCCTATGCTGCTATAACTGAGATACAGTTGCGTGTGCAAACTGTTTTTATTTTTTCTATATATTTCATTGCCAAATGCAACTTTTTTAAAGTGATCATTGGCAAATGGTCAATTTTCGGAATTTCATTATTTATTGCAGTACTTAAACCAGAAAATGTACACATTGTGTCCTAAGATCATTAAATATTTAGTTTTTACTAAATTCTGTGACAGCGGTTTATGAGGAGTTGCGCTGACAAACTGTTCATCTATATAAGGTATGGCCAAATTCCCTGTTAAAAAGTGTGAAAATTAAAAAAAATAAAGGAATCAGAATTTCCTGGTAAAATGCACATCTACACATTGTTTAAAATATCCTAATAAAAACTATTGTACCTGCAAAATTTATTGGATTAACAAAATTTTGTGCAGCGGTTTAAGAGGAGTTGTCATACCAGTGATTTTAAACTGTTCATCTCTATGTTCAATATATAGCCAAATGCCTAAGTTAAAAATCTTCACTTTTGGCACAATTCCCTTGAAAAAAAATTCTTTTGATATTAATTTCCTGGTAATATGCACATTTACACATTGTGTCCTGTGACACAATTCCTGCAAAGTTTGACGAACATATTAGTACAGCGGTTTATGAGGAGTTGCGCTGACAAAACTACAGACTGCGGAAGAGGACTGACTGACTTGTACAATATGACGGACTGGAAACATCCACAGCCTAGAAATAAGACGCTCAAATAGAGGCTCAGAAAGGCCAGACATATACAAGACACTCATAGGATGTGTTCATACTCAAGTTCAATATAAAGGATCATCGACAGAAACGGTTCAAGAAATGCCTAGATGTTCAAACCAATGAGTAAACATACATCTTGTCTAAAATGTCTATTGTATATATTGTTTCTTCTATGATATATGATATGCAATTTATGTGAGTTTATCCTATATTGTATATATACTTGTCTAAAACTGACATAAATGTCACTTAGTACACAGTGATAATATATAAACAAATCTGCAGTAGCTTATATCCTCCTGTCAAGTGCAAATCTACTTGACCACCAATTACTGTTAATTATGTAACGTAATGATAAGCAACAGTGAATTGTCTATATACAAATAATCGTACCATAATCATAAAATTCACACCCTATAGTACAACAGGAAACATAACAGGAAATAAATCGTACAAAATTTCACAAGGTCATCTGAAGTTTCACCAACAGCCATTATAAGGTCATACAAACAAGACTGCAAATATGCTACAGTTAAAAAAAAGGCCCAACAAGTTTTAATGAGTTGGCATGATAAACTGCCACCTGATAAGCTAAATAAAATAGTTTTTATGTGCTCAAATGATGAGCACTTTTAGCTTACAGTAGATAAATGTGTGCTCTGAAGGAAAAAGCTCAATCCATGGTTCAGGCCCCATTCTCTTTGGCCTGCTTTGCAACATATCATCAATTATATCATATCAATTTGTATTCTAACATTCATGCTAAAGACTCACTCTTGGGTCACTCTTTATGCTTGATCTAAATTAATTATTGGTCGGTATTTGTTTGGGAAATGAAATGCAAATACAGTCAAAATCTGAAGGAGACTCTCAATGCAGGTTTAACTGTATTAATTCACTACACCTAATATGATCACAGAAGTTATTCCAATATTATTTTAGTGAAGGATACATAAATTTGATCCTTGGTGTAGCGGACTCGTAAGTTGACAGCGATTCCATTTTCGTCAATTTCACTGATTACGATCATGTCCGGAACGCCATCCTCAGGAGCCGCTCCTGCAAAATAGACGACAATATAAAAATAAATACGCAACATCATCACAAATACCTAGAAACCTCGTAAACACAATAGAATAACCTAACAAAGTTACCACAAAATAAATATCTAACATCATTAATCCAGATAGAGAACTCAAAGTGAAAAATAATGATTTCATAAGCATGATTAGATGTAGAAGAACAGCTTCAAATTCAAATCATATGGATTTTGTTTGACATTACAAATCAAATCATTCATCAGCAGTAAACTCCTAGCAGGTAAATATTTTGAGTATTTTGGAAAAATACATTTTTATTTTGAAGTTGTGTATAGAAACAGATTGAGGCAAAAATATTGCAAAGTATCCTAAATTTTCATGTCTGAATGTTATTATTACATGTTAACATTGGTTGAATATCAACCTCATTTATGGGTTTACTTTTTGCAATCTTTAATATAAATGTATCAAGTAAAGTCAAGTAAATTAATAATCCTACAAACTGAAAGGCTATGGATCATGAGGATATATCAGACTTTTTAAAGCTCAGTTAAAATACAATATGCTTTAAATAAATCGAGTCATATTCTTTTATTAAATGCACTTCAGCATTACAGTTCAGTGCAGATTTCGGTGTAAAGATAATTGGTCATAATTACTTCATTCTCTCACTGGTAATTAAGCTAGAGCAAATGAATGAAGTTAGTTCAAGTTACATCATATTTTACTAAATAAACGTACGGTATAAACTTACTGGTAGAATTTTTTGGGTGGAGAAAAATACCAGGTACACAGAAGAGTCATATTATATAAACATTAAGCTAATAAAATTTGACATATCTAGTAGTGGATTGTGTCTGAAGCATGTCAATAGGATGTCCCAATGTTATGGTTAATTTGATAAAAAATAATCTGCAAAAAAATTAAATTCAACACTGCAATTGTCACAGTTCACTATATGAATGATCCCTCTCAAAATATCATTCTTGGGTGTTTCTTTTATACCCTGCTTGAAAAGTGGCCATTCTTTTTACAACAATGTTATCTGTAACTTTTTAATAAAACTTTCTCAAATTCTTTACTATATAAATCATGATAATAGCATAACTATTTGTATAAACAATAATGTAGCAGTCTATATATGTCCACAATGAGAGTTTATTTAATTTACTTGTAATTTATTTTGTACAAACTGTTGAACACTTCTAATTCATCCTGTTATAATATCTCATGTAGGGAGAGGGCGGTTTAAGTTTTTAGAACTTGTGCCCAATCCCATTGTATATATTTTGTGCAATAAAATATGTTAAAATCAAATCAATAGCATTGTAGGCCAATCCGCTTATCCTTTTGGCATCCAAACTGCCCCCCCCTCCCTCAATATAAACCATTTTGAATTTGGACTTCCTTCAAATTCTAGAACAGTATTAAAAAATAAAATTCATGTATACATGGTGTAATTGTGTCACAAATTTTGACGCATTTGGAAATTACTTATTAAGGTCAGACGACACGTTCCTCACATATATGTTTTGTATCTCTTGGATTTATTTAATAAATATTCATATTTGTCATTGTCTTCTGATTTCTACACTGTTTCCAAAATGGTTTTACATAGAAGTACACCAAAAATGGTGATAAAGGCCATCCAGAAGATTACCCATAAGGGTTATATAAGAAATATGACCCTATGTTAACTTGTCCAAATGCCTGGTAAGGTACCGTAATTTCTTGTGAGGAATCTTGTTTAAGTACCTATACTTCAATGACAAATTCTATGGAAAAATTATATATTTTTGAGGAACGTGTCATCTGACCTTAACATACATGCCAACTTTCCCGATTTTTTCGTGAGTCTACCGATTTTTAACCCTGTCTACCGCTTGTCTACCAAATAATTTTTTTTCTCCCATTTCGACCGATATTTAGAAAATCTGGAATTTTTACGGATTCGCTTTGAACAATACAGTTACTTTATTTCCGTGTGCAGAAAACATCGCTGCTTCGATGTTTATTAGTAAGATATCTGTTTATTGCCGCTGATAACAGGTAATCAACAAAGTGTCAACTGTGCTACCAGTGATTACAGAGGTTTTAATTGCTCTTGAACCTCATTAACAATGTATTTTAACCGAGACAATTATGCCAGATGTGGAAATTTTAGAAATACACACCACACTGCATACAAACTGACAAACTTGTGAGAGTTCATGCAGACTTAACAACAAACTTCGACATATACATTATATAAACCGTTTATAAAAGGTGTTCAAGTTTTTGGAATACATGTATTGCATTCCTCATTAAATTATAATCTACTTCATTATAAAAAGACACTGCCAAAATCAAACATGGAAAAAATGTGCCTACAAGGAAAAACCATTAGGACTGCCCAGAGTAATCAAAATAAAATTGAAAGAAAGGAAAAGACCATGCCTTTTGTAGACTTTGATCGAAAATTTAAAATGACTTAATATTCCCTCTGATTAAGAAAAAAATAATTTCACAATATTTTGTATAACAGTAGCCTTATAAACTTTGTAATTTACCAACAGACAATGAACAGTTCAGCTTATTTGTAAAGTTTAACATCCTTATTCATGTAATAATAAATTAGCTTTGTGTATCACATTCTTAAAGACAAAGGGTATATTTATCTTAATATTAACATATTAAATAATTTTGAATAAAATTGTCTTTTTAAAATTTTAAATGATATTGTATAAATTTGTGCTTTTCTTTAAGTTAATAGAGAAGAAAACACTTTTTTGAAGTAGTAATAATATATGATATAATTAAGGTAGTAGATTGATAATTTAGAAAAAAAAAACAACCTACAAAAAGTTATTTCAGGACAAAACGCCGCGAATTAGGAACTTTAAAAAATGTCGTTACGCGCAATCTCCCCCAAGAAAATTTTCAAAAGTTGGCATGTATGCCTTAACATGCTTAATACCCTGCTGCTGTCCCATTTTTTTTAAATATGAAAATCTGTTTTATCATCATGATTAGGCCCCCTATATAAGTTCTTATCAGTGGTATTATTTGTCATGTTCACATTTTTCCTTTGACCATGTTGACAATACTGGTTCTATAACTTTCTTGTTTTGTTTAGAAAATGCTCTTGGTTATCTCCACTTTTTGCTCATAATCTGCATCATCTTTATTAACAAAACACTTGGGGTAAAATATACAACATCAAATATCATTGACTCAGAGATTTTATCAATAAAAGAAAAACTGTTAGATCAAGACAGGAACATAAATAGCATGTTGTTTATGTTTTGCATGTACTTTTTCACCCTGATGGCTTATTTGAACAAGAACACATAAGACTAAGGGATAAATTACTATGAAATAAAATTAATGAAATTATTTTTTTATAAACATAATAAATGTAATGAAATGTTTAATTAATTCGATAAACTGAACAGGAAAAAATCTTAGTCATTATTTATGATCCATGCCGTAATGCTATCGATGCCGGCGATAACACACATTTGTACATATTATAGGAAATCATTGTCCATTGTCTCAGCACTCGCGAAAATCAATGTGAGAGAAATCACAGAAATCTTACCCGAAGAAGACAGTTCCGGCCTGTCTAGCACTGTCGACATTGTTTTCTGTTCTAATTAATCCATTTGTAATCAATTTGTGAAAATATACATCCTCAAACACTCATTGACTGAATCACACTAAAAAACGTCGACTGCTCAACTCCAAATTAATCGGCACTCCCACAGGCCTTCAGTTATTGTCCGATCTACGGTTGTCGTTATGAAGTCGTTTTGATGATCAACAAATGTAATTTTTTCCAAACAAAGATAATATGAGTCTGTCATGTCTTAAAGACAACATTAATAGTTTTTGAAAAGGTATATTGGCTCATAGAGCAAAATATTTCAATGTCGTTAACCATAGATGACAAAATACTTATATTCGGATAATTTTGGAAATTATTTTTTCGACTTAAGTTTCCAAAACAAATCACTGGTACTGAATCTATGAACTAAAATGACTTAATAGATTAAGTTGGTGGATCTTTCCAAGAAAGGCAAAAGATGAGTGTTTCATTGACGTTGGAAGCAAATTAAAAGGGGGCTTAGAAAGTGAAAGAAGAAAAAATAATTAATCGAACTTTTAAAAAAAAATGTAAATAGATACCTTGTCCAAACACAAAAATCCTATTTCGGGTGGGAGGGGGGTTAAGGATCGAACCAATTTTTTCTTACAAACTTAAAAGTGGGGGGATAAATCTACGCACCAATGTTCATTGCCTATATTATGTCTAGTCTATCTTGGGAAAAAAAGTGGGGGGGGGGGGGGGTTAAGCGAATAAACACGTAACTTTCATAAACGCAAAACTTTCGCGTTATATAACTTTATAGGCAAAAAAAAAATAAATAAATAAATAAACGCTTTAATGTACATTTTTTTCATCCTTTACAACTTTTATTCCACCAAATGTTACAGGGAACCTAAGGAACGATAACTCCGGATAGAGAATGTTGTTTGTGTAAAAGAATTTCTTTTCGGTTCATGATAGCAATACCTGGAACCACTGTCCAGAGACTAAGCTCTCTACAGAATGGAAGAGGGTCGTACATTTTGACCGTCGTTTGTGATGCCTATTAAGAATAAACAAGAACATTTGATATATCATGTTTATAGAACTATACTATAGTCACCTACATTTCGGTTTACATCCAATAAATAAATGAATCATCCAAGTTCCTTGGCTGCGATTGGAATTTTTTTTTAATTACATGTACAATAACGCGCACGCTTGCATAGAATGAATAAAATCGTGCAATGACTGTCACTGTGATGCAATAGGGAATGATAAAAGACAGGATAGACAGAATTGTATTTTGTAAAATCACAACAGCAATTGATTTTCATACCCACAGATATACAGAAAAACAAGAAATAGGGACAACCCCAACTTTAACCAATATGCATGCAGACCCTTTCATCTATGATGAAACTATGAATTTCTGAATTCATCATAGACCATCATTTGCAATATTGTTGTTTCTCTCTGTATTTTTAGCTTTACTTTTCCTCTTCCTTTTCTTTTTCCTTTTTTGAAACCAAATTTCATTTAGCACTGTTTTGTTTCAATAGCTTATTTGTGAGAGGTTTTTTTTTGGGGGGGGGGGGTCCTAATTTCAAATACCTCTTTTGTTTTTTTTTTATTTTATTTATTTATCTATTTTTCTTTTTTCATTCAAGAACTTCATCTGTTCCTGATTGTATGTATCGGATTAGTATAAAGCATATATCCAAATATATCCAAATTTATCAGGTTGCAATTTTTTCTATCTTTTGACAACGGAATGCTTTACGGCATTTCACCCATGCGCAACAGAGGTCTAACTTTCTTTTCGGTAACCCAACCAAGTCCAGTGATTATTAAAGTTACCAAGAATGGTGTTCTCGGGGAGGACGCGTGGTCGCGGATTTGCTGCAAAGGGCGGGGGCATCCATGCAACGACTAGAAAATCGTCATCAAGTTTCGACCGATCACGCTATCGAGATCACGAGCATTCAATGTCGCCACCGCGCAAAAGACCGACTTCTGTAGAAGACCGTCTTGGGGCCAAGGTGGTGGATTGAAATTTGTGATAAAACGTTTTATGTTTGAAATTTCTGCATCATGATATCGTAGATACAAATCAAGTCTTATGTTGAATTGAGAATGGAATTCTGTTAATGTCGTCATTTATTGTTTATGTGTTTTGAAGGCTCTCACTAGTCTCAGTAATACAGAATCAGAATATACTGCTACTCTATTTAACTAAATCTAAGCAAAAAGTACAGACGCTTTATTTCAGGATGGTGCATTTTGTGTATTATGTTTTCTAGGTGTTTCTGGATGCACTCGTTAAAATTAATGTGAAAAATCGCTGAAATTAGCAGGTTTAAAAATATTGTGATATGTTTTACGGTGTGACCGTTGGGTTGAGCACAGTTTTATGCACGGCTTACAGTTCAATCATAGATCGGCCACGTCAAACTGCACGGAAGACAGTCTAGACTGTGATGCCGGAATTTTCGTAGACTGCTGAGCATCTGGTTAAACAATACTACAGATCTTGTGCAATATTCAATGAAATACCTGGTTGAGTAGTTTTGTAATTTTTAAGCTTTGTGCAAATAAAGAAAAGTAAAAGTATCCTGGTAAATGTATGTTTTAAGATAAATTCACTTGAAACCCTAATAGTGAAGGAATTCTGAAAGTGTTGCTTAGGAAAATTTGCATGATGCTGCACTCAGTATTACTGTAAGGATCTGTGTATAGGTCCCTAATATTACTGTATACAAATAGAGTTAAGGTATGGCAATTGACATCTTAGATTTCAAGAGGGGTGGGGGGGCTCCAATGACACTTGATTTTAATCAATATTTTATACACAAAATGCACTGTCCTGAAACTAAGTGCCTTTGGCAAAAAGCAGAGAAAGGATTTCATTGAAAGTCAAATATTACATACAACTTTGTGGTGTATAAGCAGTCCTATATCCAAGTAGCCAACCTTTCCTTTTGTGGGAAGCAGACCTGCTCTGTTTTGCTTTATTTCATCTGTATATGATACATGATATTGTAACTGCTATGAGGGGCTGTTTTAAAACACATAATTTAACAAGTCAGGTCCTCACTCCAGTTTAATTTAAATACCGTATAAGTGGAAATTTTAGTGAAAGCAAATTTAGGCATTTGTCCTTAAAAATTGGTATTCTATATTTAGGAAGATTTAAATCGAGCAATTTTTAAATGATCAGTAAAGAACCTTTTACTAATAAAATACCATTTTTTAAGCGATATTTAATTTAAGCGATCTCAACACCTTCGCTTATACATAATGCCAAAATAAAATCCTTGCTAAAAATTCTGCTAATATGGAACATCCCATTGTAAGCAAAAATATATTGCAAAAAAGGCCCTTTAATGTCCCATATTTTTTAAAACAGGAAATCAGTTACTAAAATCATATCTACCAGTTTCATAAGTAATATTTTCAGCAGGTGCCCATACTGTGGAAAGTAAGGATTGCTAAAAGGAATGAACAAAAAAATCTTGTTATTTTGAGTTTCACATATCATGATTGCTTTAGTGGCCTGCAAGTAAAGGTATATTGGTCAGACACAATTGTGTCTGTATTGTAGATCTTCATATGTGAAAAGCAGAAAGAGAGTAAGATTTGGTTTTATGTAAGTGTAGATGATTTAGCGTCATTAAATTACACTATAACCTTTTAATAAAATGGGTGCAATTTGTCAAGAAATGTTCCAAATAAATTTTTGCCTTTGGAGCTATAAAAACTAAAACTATTGTAGAACATGCAGTGATCACCCCATAGTCTAAATTCTATAGAAACTGTCATTAATTAGTAACTTGCCTGTGTTTTGTAGTATCCTGATGAAAGTCCAGCCCCCCAGGCAGAGTCTCTGAGGATCACCGTCGGGAATGACATTTACAAAAAAGGGTCAGCAGTGGGGAGTCCTCTCTCTGACAGACTGGGTCCCCCAGTCCAGCAGTATCAAAACCCAGACAGTATATATGATCAGGAAAAAATGTATTATGGGGGAGGAGGAGGAGGGGGAAGTGAAGAGAAAAGGGAGGACAAATATAGAAGGGACTCTCCCTCCAGGAGGTACCCATCCGATTCGCGGGGGAGGAGAGATGATAGGGATAGGGACAGACGGAGAGACAGTAGCCGGGAGAGGAGGGATAGGAGGGGGAGCGGTCGAGATCATCATGAGGGGGGTCATGATCGGAGAGACTACAGGAGGGACAACCGGGATTACCGAGACAGGAGGGAGGACAGTCGCGAGCGACATCACAGCAGTGGATACTCCGGACAGTACGACAGGAGGGACGAACCTCACGACAGAGACTACCGCGATCAGTATAAAGGTGACCTCGATAAAAAGTACGAGGAGAGATTCAGTATGGAGAGGCTGGATCCTCAGTATGAAAATAGAGTGAGACGCGAGGGTGACATTTATGACAATTTGTCTCATGATAGGGATGTGCAGGGACATAATTCTTCAGGGGGGTTTTATGGGAGGGGAAGCTTTGAGTCCCTGACACAGCCAGGAATTAGGAGCCCTCCAAAGTCTGAGCCAACACCGCCCACAGCAAAACCACTGAAGTCTATACTTAAAAAGAAAACAGACAATGTGGCACCCCAGGTGGCGCAACCACCAGAAATGGGAGGAGGAGGTGCCTTTGGATTGCCTGTAGAAAGTAGACTGGGGCCACAAGTGGGGCAAGACTATAATTCTGGAAGGCCACCACTTGGACACTCCATGGACATTGAAGACGAAGAGAGATTTCTCTATGGAGAACCAGAAAAGAAAGAGGTCCCTCCTCCATCATCACAACCACCCCCCTGGTCCCAGCCATTTGTAGGGGATCATTTCCAGCCCCAGCCGGGTGGTAGACAGCAGAATACTTTCCCAATACTCAGTCAGAGGCAGTCACACTCCCCACCCCCAGCGTACATCCCAGAGGAACCTCCAGTGTCAGAGAGACAGTACGACTCCTCCGATCTCCTGAGCATCTTCACAAAGAGGCCACAGCCTAGAATGATGGAGGAAATACACCCCCCACTAGCACAGGCAACACTTACACAGGCACCACTCATGCAGGCACCATCCTCACAGGCACCACTCATGCAACCCACATCAATGCAGCAGCTGCCACCTGTTCAGCAACTTCCACCAGTGCAGCAGCCACAAGCCATGCAGCAGCCTGCTTCTTTTGCACAGACTGTGAATCAGGAAGTGAAACAGCAGAAATATGATCCTACAATTGAAAACATTTTAAAGTCTATTGGTTTTGATTTTGAAATGTCCAAACGAATGCAGGAAAAGGCAGGAAGTGAACCCAAGAAGGAGGAGCTTCCACAACAGTACGGAATTAACCAGACGGCCTCATTCCTTGGGGGAGGATTGTCTACCGAGGAAATCGGATTAAATCTGTTCTCCAAAAAGAAACCATCACTTGAAACTTCGTCATCGCTTGAAGATAGAGACAGAGGAAATGAAAGGGCACCTTATGATGGGAGACAGAAAGAAAGCTTCGTGGATCAGGTTTTAAGGAAAGATGTATTCGGAAAGAGGGATGCGTATCCTCCTCAACCAGAATCTTCCGTGCCACAGCCTCCTGTGACCTATGTCTCCAGTTATGCTCCATACTCACAAGGGTATGCTGCGCCTACTTATACCGGATCCTTTATGCCGACACAGTCTGAAGCTGCGAGTTATTCTGCTCCTCCGGCTGTTGATCCATACAGATATCCTCCAGAGTATTCAGTGGCTCAGTCACAGCAGGCTCCTCCAGAAAGCACGTATACAGCAGAGAGAGCATACTCAGCAGAACGAGCATACTCAGCAGAGAGAGCATACTCAGCTGAAAGAGCATACCCAGCGGAGAGCCAGAGGGATGCCAGTGTCAGTCAGGTGTCCCCAGGCTTACCAAAGGCTAAAGAGAAATCCAAAAGAGAAAATCTGACAACCATACCCTTAGAAAAAGACCTCCCTAAACCTCAAAAAGCAGAGCCTACGTCAAAGAAGAAAAATGCTAGGCCAAATTTAAGGGAAATTCCAAAGTCGTCTGAACCAATAAGACAAGTTTGTGAAACTCAAATGAAATATGATAAATCTCCTGTTCTACCAAGCAGAACAGTTTTACCTCCCAAAAGTGAAAGTACAAAGATGCCTGTTCAAGGAACCAAAAGGCCAGCAGATAAAGAAATGGATCAATCTTTGATAAATAAAAAGAGACAGGCAGAAAAACTGCTACGGGATAAGGAGGAAAGACAGAAACGCATCCAGGCTTTGGAAGAGGAGTTAAAGAAACTAAGACGACAGCAGAATGAGATCATGCGCAAAAAGCGTCGACAAAAAGACGGACACAAGGACCCGATTCTTCTACAGAACAGTAAATTACAGGAGGAAATCGCAATGCAGATCTCCAAACTGAGGAAACTCAGCGAGGGGAAAACTCTGGAGGAAATCCAGCCTCAGCAAAAGAAAATCAAGGTGGAAAAAGAGGCGGAGAAAGTGAAAGAGGATGTGGAAATGGTAAAAGAAAGTGAAAGTAAAGAGAAATCTGGAACTCCAGCCATTAAGGAGGAAGTCCCTCCACCGGCAGCCGTCAAACAGGAAGTTAAACCGGAGACGATGGTGAAACAGGAAGAGAAACCTAAACAGGTGATTTTATCAAGAGAAGTAGTTTGTCTGGCCAGTTTGTTTGTAATATTTATATTTTAAAATGAAATTTTCATTGCAGCATTAAAATTGTAAGTCATTGGTAAGTGATATAAAACTCTTTGAAAAATGATTTTTATTTTTAAAGAAAAAGTTGCATGTATTCTGAAATGTTTTACCAGTTTATATATGCAGTATGCTTTATATTTTGCAGATGCCATTCCCATTAAAAGTTCAGAAAACTAAATATGAGTTCTTTGATCCGGGAAAACACTGGTGCAAGCTCTGTAATACTGTATACGACACAGCCCCACAGTTCCTAGAACACACCCATTTTCGTCACAACAAGAAGGTAGAGACGGATACCAGTCAGTGTAAACTGGTTCCTCTACAAATTTGTACATGTATAAAAGCTATTTGTTTTCAGTACCTTTTTTGAGCTATTGTAAGATTTATGAGGATAAAAATTCTTGTTCTATGTATAAATCATAAGTTTGACATGTAGATAGTGATTTAGCAGAATAAAGATGGCGTTACATAGTGCCTTATACATGACCCACTTTAATTGTTTTAATCTTTATTGATACAAAAATACATTTAAACTGCCATGGATTGGAGGAGCTGGCTTTTTGTTTTCTGATTTTTTTTCTGCAATCTGCAAGACGATACTGCAGATATGATTTTTCCGCGAGTTCATAAATAATTAAAACAAGTTTGCGAAACCTCCCCCTTTGAATTTTTACAGTGGAAAAACACAGACACGTATGATAGACCTTGGATCCCAGACCAAATGAAGAATCCTCCTCAGAAGAAGAAAGGACAGAAAGTAGAAGTTGTGGCTCTCAAGGGTATCTGTGTTTATTGCTGCTACAAGATGACAGCCATCTTTGCCAATAGATATAATTAAAAGTCATGACTTAATTTCCTCTCTGATGAATAAGATTCTGTAATATTCAAATAAATAAGTTCTTTGACAAATGAATTTAAAGCATTGAGAAACTTGAGTAACATGCAGTGAAATATTTAAGTTATTTTTATGAGTTGACTTAAACCAGATTTTGGTGTTTCAGGGCCCGAGTTCTTATTCCCAACCAATGGTTTCTACTGTGTCTTGTGTCGGGAGTTCTCAGGGGATGTACAGTGTGCAGACTTTCACCTGAAAACTGAAACCCACCTGTCAAACTATCAGGTAAAGCACAGGGCAGGGCTCGAGCTGTGATTCGCCATTGTCGCCAATTGCGAATTTTTTTCAAAAGTGGCGAAAAGAAATTCATAAGTGGCGAAAATGAATTTTTTTTGATGTACCATGTACAAAATTTGGCTTTTATTTAATGTACACAGATAATCCTCTGTGAAAACTGAAACCTACTTTTCCCATTCATAGCCTTTTCCAGGTATACGGAAACAAATGATGGTACATGTACTATGTGCTTTGCTATCTTTATGAACTCTGTGCTAAAAGCGACCTGGTAAAGAATATTGAGTTATATGTATATTGATTCTACCTTTTGTTAACAACAGAAATTTCTGAAGGACAGTCCTTTCTACGAACAAAGACGGCAGCTCGATCGGGCCAAGGGTCTGGCTGAGAAACAAGAAAAAAATCTGAAGGAGAAAGGACCTAGACCTTTGTTTGGAAGAAATGCCTCTAAAGAGAAGGAAATAAAATCTGCAGAAAAAGCTCCCCCTGTCAATATTGAGCAGTCAGAAAAAGAAGTAGAGGAATTATCAGACGTTCAGAGTAATGCTCAGTCCAGTGCAGCAAAAATAGCCAAAGTGAAACTGTCCTTAAAGAAACCCCCTCCTGCGAACCCCGCCCCCAAGCCAGAACCCAAGTCTCTCCCCACAAAGATGGAAATAGAAGCCTCTCCACCACTGCAGACCCAGAGCTCAGTAGAAGAAGCAGAGAAAAAGGCAGATGGTGAGAAAAAGGAAGATGGAAAAAAAGGGATAGAAATTAAGATTGCAAATAAGATTGGAATTGTCGGAAAAGTACCTGCAAAAAAGAATGCCCTTCTCCCGCCCTGGACACCGGTCACCAGGCAAGATCCTCTGAAGGCCGTACCTGCAGCAGAGGCAGAAAAAAATAAATCAGCGATGGAGAAGAAACAGGTGACAGCACAAGACATTCTGAAGGCCTTGCAGGAAAAGAAAGAGCAGGAAAGAAAGGAAATGGAGGAAAAAGCCAAACAGGAAGCCCTACTTAATGTGATGGAGATTCCAATACCAGAGATGCCAAGCAAGGAAGAGGAAAAACCAGGAGTTACGCAGGACACAAATCCCGATCTCAGCTCTATACAGATTCCGGTCAAAGAGATGCCAAGCAAGGAGGAGGTGGAGAAGCAGGACTCCACGTCTGGCCTCGCTGCTACAGAGATTCCTGTCCCAGAGATGCCAGGGAAGAAGGAGGACAAATTCAGAGGGACACAGGATGCAATATCTGACCTTGATTCAAAACAGATTCCCATCCCAGAGGTACCAAGTAAGGAGGCCAAGCCTGCAGATAAACAGGACTTACTACCTGACTTGAGCTCAATACCAGTACCCAGTCCTCAAAAAACAGAAAATTCAGTGCTAAATGAGGACAAGAATGTAAAAAGTCGCTCTTGTGATATAAACATTATGGATAGTAAACAAGATTTAGAAAACATTGTTATGCCAGAGTCCATACAAACTACAGTGGAGAAAAGCCAGAGTGATCCAGGTCAAAAGATGAAGCAAGAAGATACGCTGAAAGGACAAACGGAACTAAATCTAGATGAAAATAAGACACTTAAGGCTGAAATCAGCATGTCAGGTGATGTTCAGAATGTAGGAGAGGTTAAATGTCTACAGGAAAAGAATTCTATAGCAGTTAACAAAAAATCACAAGAAGACAATCAGACCTCTGTAGCTGAGATGTCAATGAGTGGCACAGCTGTCGAAGTCACTGAGACTGTAAGTATATCAGAAAACACAGGAGACAACGTGGTAAAGGAAGATTCGAACCAGGAGAAACACACAGCAGTTGAAATCACCCAGACTATTAGTGTTTCAGAGGTCAATGTGTCAGAAAATGTTAAAGACAACACAGAGAAGGAAGATTCGAACCAAGAACCACAGACCTGCGAGTCAGAAGATGTAGCTAATGATGAAGACGATGATAAGACCATAATAGACGATGAAGAGACAATGGACAATGATGATGTGTTAGAGATAAGTGACGACGACACTCGAGATGGCGAGTACAACGAGACCATGAGGGTGTCCCAGCGGGCGCGGTGTCGGCCGATCGAGGACGTTATCGAGGTCAGTATGGGTAGCCTTGGTGACGTCGTGGAGGTCGCGGTGGGGGGTGAGGACGACCAGGACCTGGAGGGCGATATAGAGTGCGATGTCGACCAGCTGTACGGGGTGATAGGAGGAGAGTCAGAAAATCTGGACGACGTCTTGTCTGTGGGGCAGGACCGGGGAGGGGCGGGGTGCTTCTCAGAGCTGGGGGTGAAGCCGATGGATGTCGAGGACGTGACCGACGGGGGAGGGATGAACGATGAGGAGGTGGGGAACATCGTGGACGAACTGATGCACAGCAACGGCATAGAAAGTGGTGAGTAAAGCATCAATTAATAGAAAGGGAGAAACATTGTCGCATCCCTGAAGTATAAAGTAAAAAGATAAAAATACATTGTTATTGTTACATTATGGGTACTTATGAAGTATAGCTATGAAATAACACTAGTTCACAGCTAATTGAGTAAAATTACAAGTATGTATTAGTTGATAAGGAAATTATTTCAGTTCTAGATTTAAAAAAAAATGCACTTGATCAAATTTTTTGTGCAGTTTTTGTAATTTTAAGCACATTCAGTTTCCTTTTCATACTCTATAATATGTCTAAGCATTTTTCAAATGCATGATTAAATTCCATCCCCAAATACTTTATATACACGGTACACTAGCATTCATATTTTGCACAACCTTTCATGTCTCTATTCATAAATATAAGCATTAAATTGATTTTTAGCTCACCTGAGCCGAAGGCTCAAGTGAGCTTTTCTGATCAAAATTTGTCCGTTGTCTGTCGTCGTTGTCGTTGTCGTTGTTGTCGTTGTCGTTGTCGTTGTTGTCGTCGTAAACTTTTCACATTTTCATCTTCTTCTCAAGAACCACTGGGCCAATTTCAACCAAACTTGGCACAAAGTATCCTTGAGTGAAGGGGATTCAAGTTTGTTCAAATCAAGGGCCACGCCCTTTTCCAAGGGGAGATAATCATGAATTTGTTAAAAATTAATGGCATTTTTAAAAAATCTTCTTCTCCAGAAGAATTCTGGGCCAGGAAAAATGAAACTCATGTGGAATCATCCTCAGGTAGTGTGGATTCAAGTTTGTGTCAAATCACTGACCCCTGGGGCATAGGGTGGGGCCAAAATGGCCGACACCCAAGTTTTACATAGGAATATATAGGAAAAATCTTTAAAAATCTTCTTCTCCAGAACCACTGGGCCAGGAAAGATGAAACTCATATGGAATCATCCTCAGGTAGTGTGGATTCAAGTTTGTTCAAATCATGACCCCCGGGGCAAGGGTGGGGCCAAAATGGCCGATCCAAGTTTTACATAGGAATATATAGGAAAAATCTTTAAAAATCTTCTTCTCCATAACCACTGGGCCAGGAAAGATGAAACTCATGTGGAATCATCCTCAGGTAGAGCAGATTTAAGTTTGTTCAAATCATGACCCCGGGGGCAAGGGTGGGGCCAAAATGGTCGACCCAAGTTTTACATAGGAATATATAAGAAAAACTTCTTCTCCAGAACCACTAGGACAGGAAAGATGAAACTCATGTGGAATCATCCTCAGGAAATGTAGATTCTAGTTTGTTCAAATCATGACCCCGGGGGCAAGGGTAGGGCCAAAATGGCCGACCCACGTTTTACATAGGAATATATAGGAACAATCTTTTAAAATCTTCTTCTCCAGAACCACTGGGCCAGGAAAGATGAAACTCATATGGAATCATCCTCAGGTAGAGCAGATTTAAGTTTGTTCAAATCATGACCCTCGGGGCTAGGGTGGGGCCAAAATGGCCAACCCAAGTTTTACATAGGAATATATAGGAAAAATCTTTAAAAATCTTCTTCTCCAGAACCACTGGGCCAGGAAAGATGAAACTCATATGGAATCATCCTCAGGTAGAGCAGATTTAAGTTTGTTCAAATCATGACCCTCGGGGCTAGGGTGGGGCCAAAATGGGCGACCCAAGTTTTACACAGGAATATATAGGAAAAATCTTTAAAAATCTTCTTCTCCAGAACCACTGGGCCAGGAAAGATAAAACTCAGGTAGTGCAGATTCAAGTTTGTTCAAATCATGACCCCCGGGGCTAGGGTGGGGCCAAAATGGCCGACCCAAGTTTTATATAGGGATATATAGGGAAACCTTTTAAAATCTTCTTTACAAGTACTTCAAAGCTATGATTAGTGATATTTATATGGAATCATCCTCAGGTAGTGTAGATTCACTATTGTTGAGGTAAAATGTCATTCACTGCAAAAAATGTTTGTTCAAATGATGAACGCCTGGAGGGGGGGGGGGAGTAAATTCAAGCCTGATGTGCTCAGGTGAGCGCTGTGGCCCCTGGGCCTCTTGTTTAGAGATAAATATGATCATGATTGCAGCAAAAACTAATTCTTGCCATGAGCTTTTTGCTAAAATTTGAGTCTGCTTTTTTTTAAAACAAATCCTTTCAAATTACGATATGAAGACAACCTGTGTGTTTTGAAATCCTCACTTTCATTTCTACATTTTTTTTTTTTTAAAAACTTGAGTAAGGGAAGCACATTTAAAGCCTGTAGAGTCAGTATTCCCCTCAAGTAACATTGTTAGCATTAAATCAGTGGAGTTGAAGTTATTTAGTTATATTTTAATTAATATAGAAGATAAATCAGAGATATTGTAAAATATTGCCAGGTCTAAAGGAGTGGATGTCCAGTTTTGGTAGGTATCCATGTACGACACCTGTCAGCTAAATGTTTTATTTACCTGCATGCTCTGTTTGATAGGAAAATGGTTGCATGAGATTCAATGGATTCTTTGTTGTTGAGGGTATATTATGAGATTTTGTTTCACTTCACTGTTCTGTTGTTTTGGATTAAGTTATTTACATTACATTTTAGCCTTTGTTTTCATTGATAATATGTATACCTTGTATAGTTATGAAGAGGAAAATTAATTCCTAATTATTTTTTTCAATTTTTCACCAATTCTAGCTTTTTTCAGTACATGTATTAGCAAGAACTATAGGAAATGCTGAATATATAATTTTATCTTTTTTATGACTTCATTAACTAAATCTAGAAAAGCATGACAAACTTTTGATTGGAGTAAACTTTTAAAACAAAATTTTTATAATTGAGAAATCGAAGATTAAAATATTATTTAAAAGTTCTGATTTTGTTACTTGTTTGATTTTAAAGATCAAGAGAGCATCCTGAGTGGGACGATGGGCAGCGACTTCGAGGTCGTGGACGAATGTGAAGAGGAAACGTGAGACGTGGTGGGGCCAAAATGAGATCAAAGTTTTACATAGGAATATATAGGAAAAATCTTTAAAAATCTTCTTCTCAACCGTGTCATGATTAAAAAGATTGTTATGGGGATATGCGTGACAATAAATGTGGTATAATTGTTACTATGTATATGTTGGCGGTGACTTCGAGGATGTAGATGAGTGATGTAGTGAGACAATTTCCATGGTATAGTTGTGAAAATGTACATGGTACTGATGGCAATGTCTTTGAGATTGTAGAAGAGTGCAATGGGGAAATATGAGGCCATAAGTGTGGTAAAATTGTGAAAATGTACATGGGAGTGACTTTTGGGTTTTAGATGAAATTAATGAAGACACGCGAGATGATAACCATGATATAATTGTTACAGTGTTAGATGTCGGCATCCACGATGACTGTTGCGGAAAGATGTGAACATTTAATCGTGGTATAATTATTGTCAGCCGTGAAGTTGAAGATCTCAGTGTTTTGTTTGTTAGGTCTTGTGTTGTGATGACTAGACATGACAGAAAGCCATTTTAGGATTACTCTATCAAAGCTCTGGAGATGAATGTTTGTGTTGATTTGTGAGTTTATAGGATAAAGACGCATCATGTCTATTTTGTTCCAAGTTGTTAAGTTTTTATAAACTATTCTATAAACTTGAAAGTATGCACTTTTTTTTCAAATCAGTGCTTCATTAGAATCTATGAATGGCAGTTGTGTTGAATGATTTGAAATTACAAATGCCATTTTTTACATTGATCATATAAATCATTTTCATTATCTTCATTTTGCATGTTATACCAGAAATCCATGATACATGTAATGATTATCATTGTTTTCTATTAAAATCATATCACCAAATTGACCTTATCTTGTTTATTTACAATCATGCATGGTTACAAGTGTAATGGTTTGAGCCGTAGATATCAGCCTGGATAGCTCAGTTGGTAGAGCACCTGACTAGAGATGCAGGGGTCCCGGGTTTGATTACCAGTCCAGCCACATCATTTTCTCCCTTCCTGTTACACAAGGAAACTTAATGTAAAATGTAATGTTCAGATATCTTTGTTGAAATAGAGGAATATGTTGTTTATAATTGTGCAAGGAATTTTGGGACGTCAATATAGTGGATTCTGCTGAATTTCAACTAAATATCCAGTAAATTCTGCCTTGTATATTGGCCATGAAAAAAACCCTCTGTAGACACAGTAGAATTTAAAGATATCTAAAATTGGAAATCTGTAACTATTAATGGAAACATTTCAAAATTATTGGTACCCAAAGGAAGGTCTTGTCATAAGGAATACACATGAAATACGAAAGCACAAGTGCTAATAGTTGAAAAGGTATAGCCAAGACTGAAGTTTTTAATAAGTGGTCCAAACTCTATTGTTAAGGTCAAAAATATATTTACCCAATGTCCCAATGAAAAGACTTGTAACAATTAATATACATGTGAAGTATGAAAGCACTTGCACCAACTGTTAAAGATATAGGCAAGGTTAAAGAGTAATATTTGTGAAAGTGTGTCAAACTCCCAAGGTCAAAGTCGAATTTGGTGGTACCCAAAGAAAGGTCTTGTTTCGATGAATAAACTTGTGAAATATGAAAGTCATAGTTCCATCCACTCAAAAGTTGTGAGCAATGTTAAAAGTTTTGTGGAAAAGCAGATAGACAAACAGACAGACTGCAGCAGTGGCGGATTTAAGGGAAGGGGCGCATCCGGCGCGCGCCCCTAACATTGTCAAAGTTAACGTAAATCACAGTTTCGTCTAGAAAATGTAAATATGTCTACTTGGTAGACCTCATTTTTACCCTACAAAATCTCTAGAACCCAGGAGATTCCGGGGGCTTTGTCCTGGACCCACTTGGGGCCTCAAGGCGGCCCCCAGACCCCTTGCCTACTTTTGGCGCCCACTCTAACTTCAACTACTGGATCCGCGTTTGTGCAGAAATTCTATACCTCCGAAACTTCGATTGTTGGGGCATAAAATGTGTTTGCAAACCTTTCATAATTTTGTGTTTAAACTGAAGATGGTCATGAACCACAAGACTCACCTGAGATCCCTTTCAGTCAAGATCTCAAAAACGGGGATCCCCCCCTCCCCTTTCCAAATCAAAGACATGATTTCTATTTGTTTTATTAGACTGTACATGTGATGGATTTGGAAATCTAATTTTAGTAATAAGATTTTTTGCGGTAGAAGATCAAAGGTTCCTTTAAATAATGAAAGCACTAGTTTTTTAATGGTCTATCGTCTTTCAGAAATTTCGCTGTGCCTGCATAGCTGAGTTCGATAAAAAATCAAATGACGATTAGAGTATTCGTTAAGATATATGGCATAAAAATAAAACTTGTATACATGCATTGTTTATTTTATCGTGTTCCCTAAACAATGTGGGGAAGCTAAGCACATATAGTGTCCAACAATAGTCAATATAAAATATGTGTTATAAAATATCTCCATTTCGTAATTGATACATTTGTAAAGTGATACTGAGCAAAAACACAACATTCATATTTATAAAATAACGAATAGTTAAAAAATAACAGTTTTTTGTTAATATAGCAATAAATAATATAAATATGACTATTAATGATGCTTTAGTCAATGTCAAAGTCACTAAACAACAGATACTCCCGTAATGCTGTTGGGAGTTTCAGAAGTTTAATATTATCCTGGATTTTCCCGCCACTTCCAAACGTTTTTCGGATTCCTCTACGGCAGTGTTCCATCAAAGGTCTTGGAGAGCTGGATATTTCACGAACTTTGTTTTTCATTTCGTCTTCTATAGTTGTCATTTTTTCAAGAGTTGGGAGGTGGTTCTTCAATATATTGACTGCTTCCTCACAGTAAGCACTGACTAGCAAGCGGAGCACCTGTTCCTTCTTCTTGTGAACAGCGTGTTCGATTGGGTTACAGGGTCCGCAGTAGTTACTCAAAGATGACTGGGTCCCAAACTTGCAGTTTGCCCGTAAAAGTAGTTTAACCGATTCTATGCTGAATCCGTCCACAGCAAACCATAATGGTAACGTGCCCGCGTCGTCTCCAACATTTGGATCCGCCCCATGTTCCAATAAGATGGCCACAAGCTGCGGGCTGTTGTAAAACACGGCTTCGTTAAGTGCCGTCATACCGTGTAGTCCGCGGACGTTCGTATCAGCACCAGCGTCCAGGAAGAACTTGACAGCTTGTATTTGTTTGTAATTCACCGCTGATATCAACGGAGTCATTCCGTCTTGTTTCTGAATATCAACACTGAAGCCCGCGCGTATTATTTCCTGACAACACGGAACACTTCCACCAGTGGCCGCAAAATGCAGCAACGAATTACCATTATTTGGTGTTTTATTCAGATCTGCGCCTTTTTCTATCAGAAATTTTAGAACTTCAGTCTGTCCTTTTACTGCTGCGTTGTAGATAGGGGTACATCCTAGGGTATCCTGGGCATCAATATTAGCACCCGACTTTAGAAGAGCTTCACAGCACTTCAAACTCCCCCTTTCTGACGCCCAGTGTAGAGCTGTCCGTTTGTTATAAGCAGCCATATTGACGTTACATCTCCGTTCGATTAGAAAGTTAACAATGTGCTCATGACCATACAATGCCGCCATCATGACAGGCGTGAAACGTCGAATGTCTTGGGCATCAATTTCTGCGCGTGCATCAAGCAACAGACGGCAGCACTCTAAATCGCCATGTTGCGCTGCAAAATGTAGCGCCGTTGCAGCACTGTGGCTCATGCGGTTGACGTCACATCCATACGATAATAATAGTCTCATGACTTCAACGTATCCCATCTCCGCTGCGCAGACTAAAGGAGTGTTACCAAACGTATCTTCTTCCTCTAGATCGGCCTTGGCGTCCAGCAGCAGCCGACAGATTTCTATGTGGCCATTTTCTGTGGCACAATGAAGTGCAGTTCTGTCATGGTAACCACGGCGACGCACGGAAACATTTTTACCCAGAAGACACCGGACGATTCCTATATGGCCATTAGCTGAAGCCACAATCAAGGGCGTATCTGTGCGGGAATTTTTTGCATTAACATTGGCTCCCGCAGCCAAAAGCATATTACAGCATTCTATATAGCCTTCGCTGCAGGCGTAATGTAGAGGCGTGTTTCCCATTGGTCCAGCCATGCTGACGTCAGCGTCCCAACGTAATAACATATCGACAACTGAAGCGTGACCGCCCCTAGTGGAGAGCGTAAGGAGGGTAAATTCTTCGTCATTGTGTATATTAGGGGAGAATCTGCTGTTCTCTAGAATAAGGGCGGCACAGTTTGCCTTTCCACTTCCGCAGGCAAAGAAAAGACAACTCTTCAGCTGCTCTTTAGGAGGAAGATACGTCTGTAGAATGTCCTTTACCCTCTGTTCATCTCCCGTCACCACGGCTTCCTGGAGACTGAATAGAAAATCGTGACTTTAATAAAGTTCAATACAATTACATTACGTGGTGTTAATAGAGTGTATGGTATAAAATGCCATTTACAAGTACATGTTTATTATCTAATAATTCTATTGGGAGAAAGTATACTGTAGGAAGTCAAAGTGAGAAAAGGGCACAGACTAGAAAAAAAACCCAGATTCAACGCCATCAATCAATAAAGATTAAATATTTATAGGAGTATCATTATTCTACATTGTATTACAAACAGACTATGTACATATTCTATTACTAAAATGTAGAAACTCATATGTATACATGGCTCGTAATAAAAGAATTACATCCATAGAAAATAATTGTACTAAAGAAAACATTTCCAAAATTCTTGAATTCGTTCACTGTATATACTAAAATTTCAAATATTATTTTCAGACACGTGGGTATTTTACTCCCTGTATAATTTATATACATTAAAAGATGAAAATTTTCAGTGAAATCAAATTAAACAGATTCAATAATAATTATGATTTTCATAATTATATTGTGTTTTTAAAATGTTTCCCATGACGTTCGTGATTTATCTTAATTAGTAATATTTCACGACCGAATATTTTTCAAGCTGTTCAAAATATTTATGAGATTCATACGAAATACACAGCTACATACGAAATCATAAGAACAAGTTCTGCTTGTTTAAATATCTAGCTCTCCCTACCTAGTATCGTTCCCCTCTGTATATATAATCACAAGTTATCTTTCTTCTTTAGATAACTTAAATTTATTGCACCTAATTACAAGAGGTTGGCGAGTATTTTAATGACGGAGGAATCTCAAAGGGAAACCATCTCAGTGCCAAGTGAGGGTGTTCTTTCATCAGAAAGACAACACTCCTCTCATGTGATTCACTCAGATAAATCTAGCTTCACGTAAACACACTATACCCAACACGAAATATCGGTCCTGTCAACATTGGCTTCCATCTCTAGAAACTCAAATAATATTTTCTGACAGTTATACAAAAAACCTTTTGACAGAAACCGAGTGAACATTGCAATCTTTCCGATAAATGCATTAAAATTTAAGGGGGTTCTTGACGTTAGAAGAAGTAGGTCGTCTGCTATATAAATTAAATCTGTCTGCCATAAGCAAAAGGGAACCAATACGGAAACAACTTAATCTCTAACAACCATATCAAATGAAAATTTAAATTCTTTTAATCTTAAGGCATATTTTTACCTGATACAAACACCTCGATCTTCATCACAAGGCTGAAAACTCGTCATAATAATACTAAGCCTACGTAAACTTGTCTAGGCTCAGATAATGTTCGATAACTTAAAATCCTGAATGAAATAATGTAAATCGTTCACCAAACCAAGTAGAAAGAACAGTGAGAAAGAAAACAACTTGTTTACCTCGACATCAAGAGTCTTCTTTGTTCTGTCAGCCTCACATCGCGATGTAAATGATAATGTTTATCACCTCAGTATCTTTGTATACATTATTTAGAACTTACTTCCGGTTTCCGAAAGACAGCCAGAGAGGTTCCGAAAAATTGCGGGAAAATCAAATATATAATGTACTCATGAATAGATTTGCCTATCCCTCAGCCCTTTGTATCATGTATACCACAAACTAAGTCATAAAATTTATAAGTAGGTTGATGCAAAGGGCGAGATGGGTTGAGATAGAAAGAAAAAATGCGTACATGCATCATACGCTATGTACAAATAAAAAGAGTTTTCAGTTACAAGTAAAATAACGTCGTCTCTCGAGAAACTTTTTCACTCATGAATATGAAGACACCACCGCTAGTTTTACTTTATTTTGTGAGAGCAATGGCGATACAAACCATAGGCATCTGACGAATGGATAGTGTACCCTCCCCCCCCCCTTTAATTTCTCAGTGAGAATTTTATATCAGAAACACTTTTTAAGATTATATTATTTTTATATATACCGTTTTTACACAGACATAAACTTTATTTCCATTTAATATTTTGTCAACTCATAGTATGATAGTAACAATTCATGTAATAAAATATACACACATGTTTAGTGTAATTATGAAAAGTCATTGTTAATAATTATATTATACAGAAACAAGTGCCCGTGATACGTAAGGGTTTTAAGACCTATTTAACCTGCTTGAAATTGGTATCAGATATCGGAAAACACGGTATGTTTTAATATCAAAGACCTATTTATAAAGATGCTTCAAATGATTTATTTGACACCAATCGATGTCACAGAATATTTATTTTCAGGAAGATGGATAGCTTAATTTTTTTTCTTCACTTAAAAAGTTAGGCTTGAAAAAGAGAAAAGGATAGAGGAAAAGAAAAGATGTAAAACCAAAGAAAAGATGTAAAAGAGAAAACCACTAATCTGTCTCTAAAACACTATTTGTAGGATAGGGGAAGGGTTGTTAGTTTGTTTGTCATTTGATGGCATCGTCTCAAACCACGGTCTGGAGTCCGCATATAGCTATCTCCAGAATGGGGGAGGATCGTGCATTTTAGTTGTGGTTTGCGACGATGATTTGATGGCAGATTAATAATTAATTTTCATCATTTTTGGAATAGGGAAGCGCATTGAAGTGGTAAAATTCTCCGTTTGGACCAAAGTTCTGAGTCGATTTGAAGGTCAATTATATATAATGACACGCCCATATTTTCAGAAAGAGAAAGTAATATTTTTTTTAGGACATCCCATTCTTCGAAACAAGCATATGAGTTACACTGAAATGCTTTAAAAAAAAGAGAAGGGAGTTAGAGGTTAAACACAAATTGAGAATATGTACATATTTTTGAGAAAACCACAACACATGTTTTGGTCGACCGTGTTTACTCGGTGTTTATTTAGATCCTCAATTTGATTGGCTATTATATTTACGGAAAACCTGTTCTACAGGTATTTGAAGAAACAACTTGACCGTTTTATCAATTTCTAAAGAAATGGCGTGTCAAAAGATAATTAATTTATAGCATCATTTAATTTTTTACCACTTCAATGCGCTTCATTGTAATCGGTAAAATTTACAAACAGATCCCTTGAATTGAAATTCTGAATTAAATGGCCGTCCTCTTTTCAAGGCATCCACGTTTTTCTTTCGTAATATATGTAGATTCAAGTTTCTAAATTTGAAATATGACCAAGAAAAGAAGCTTATGTTGGAGTATATAGAGCCGACTTTAATTTTCGTATTTTAATTTAATCTTACTGTATCTCTCTCTCTTTTTTTTTTTTTTATTAAATTGAAAGAATATAAAAATTCGTTTAAATGCATTGTGAATTTACCCTTAAAATTCTGTATATTCAGAGGACATTCTAATTTAGACTCGAAAAAGGGATCAATCGATGCAGATAAATTATATTTCCATTAATATTATAAATTTACAAAGAGATCAGAAGGTTATCAGTGGAATTAAACAATAATGAAGTCATTTAAAAAAGCACCTAAGAGTAAAGGGAGGTAAGCGACGTAACCCCTTTATATCTAGATTTGTTCTCCTCGGCCCAGTAATTTCTATAAATAGAATTCTATCATGCAAAAGTTTGGGTACTGCATCACAACAACACCTGAACCATTCTACATTCATTGGCAACAGTGTTAAAAAATATCTAGAACTATAAATAAAAGTGTATAATAAATTTATTAATAAGCTGCCAATTAGACGAAGGATCAAACTTAGCGTGAACAAAAGCTACCTGAACATTAATATTAATAAAAGAAAAGTTTAATAGGTGAAATATCAGGTGAATAAACGAGATTAAATCACTCCATGCCGAAGTGCTTTAAGGTTTCTAAACGTGGATTTAAAACTGACACATATATTTACAGATTTATATTTTAAATCCGGATTAAATAATAAGTATTAGTGGCACATATAACATACACTTGTTTGTTCTTTTAGTTCCCAATTTTAATGGATACTTTTAACTTGTAATTTAATTCGCGATTACACAGTTCATAATCATTGTGCAGTAGTGTGCTGCGGAGAAAATGCACATATACACGTTCTTCTTACGTTCGGGCAGTGTTCGATGAAGATTTCAGTTTATATTTCAGTGTAGACTTGGTAAAGGACTACTTGATTTTTTTCCACGCTTTTTAGACGTATATAAAACAGGGAATTTATGTAAGTATGATCTGTATTGTATAAGTTCTCTCCCCCTTTTCACTGTTAATAGGACATATTTTTAATCTAGATGCGTGCAAATGATATACATGACATACATGTTGAAAAATTGATTTCTTTCAATAAAAAACGGAAGACCTACAAAATAAATATCTATGTAATTCTAATGTATGCCATCGCGCTAAAATATATATTTTTAAAATAATACACCTTTTCAGAGAACTACAGATGGTGAAGGTAGACAGTGGTAGCCATGTCGGATTTGCAGAATTTTCCAAAACTTCAGGACAAGCGCCTTTCTTTGATAGGGAAGCAGACCCACCGTCTGAGAAAGACCACGTCAATCAACAACGATAAACTTAAACACAAATGTGTCACGTATAGCAAAGCTGTTGACAGAGACAAACGCAGTTATGATTTTAAGATGTGGCAAAGGAGCATGCCCCATAAACAATTTTACATTCACTCCAAGGGGACACAGAAATGTCTGAAACGGATACGGGACCAGGTTCCGGATTTGGATGACGAGAGCAGCCTATATGGAGTATATGGCGGTGTCTCTTTGAGAGATCTGCAACCACAGATAGACACAATTATCAAGGATCAGCATCCGAAAGTACGCCGCATAAGGAGAACCGAAAAACTCCTCACTGACGGCAAAACTGATGGTCGTATTCTGGATAATAAAGAAGCCCGAGGGATGCTGGAAGCAATCCTTAACAGACCCTCTTTCCCGCCAAGACGAGAACGAGGCATGACTCTGTATATCCGGGCAACAAGAAGACCCTCGACTGTGGACACCAACGAAATAACCAGCGCCGGGGCACTGCGACTTCCGCCAATTGCGGTGTCTAGAGAGAATACGAGGTCGGGTCTTGTGTTCCGACCGAAATCTAAACCCATCATGTTGAGAGATCCTCCGAAAAGATCCACCACATTTGCTTTGGGTCTTTAGAACAATTTGTTTTGTTGTCGTTATCGTTTTAATTAATAGTGCAAAATGTGCAATTACTTTTTGGTTTGACATCTATGATTGACATTTTCCATCAATCAATGAAAACCTCAACAGCATGTTATTCTAAATAAAAATGTAACATATATGTTCAAGGATCTTTAATGTGAACGATACTAATTGACTAGAAGTATTCCTAGCTTTTTATTGGTGGAAATTAGAAGCCACTTCTTTCTGTTTTCGAATGTTAGGTGGACGTGGATGTGTTCAGAATTTATTTTTTGATGATGTATGTTTTTGTTAATGAAGACATAGTGCTCTTTTAATACAAGGACGTGACATTTTATTGCTGTCTTGTGTCTGTTTCACAACTTTTTCGTTTATTCTGTGGTTGTTTTTATATATCATAACATATGCATCGTGAACTACGATGACTCCAAATACTTCATGGATTGTGAATACATAAGAAACGTCACAGCATTGACGGGAAACGCCCTTAAACACGTGATTAGACATCCCCTATAAAACACTCCGAACCCCTCTTCCCTGTAGCTTTTCACTGCACAGTCTATTAACCCGGAGTATTCTCCTATAAAGTCTGCCTGAAACCGGCTCTTCACGACATCGAACGGAATAATGGATGCCCACGTGATTGTTCCCGCGCATCCTCCAGCCACGAGATCTGCAATAACGCCTCGGGAGTCAGACCAACCAGAAGTCTTCATCCAGTGGGATAACACTTCGTAAGTCAGTCCGTACAGACCGTAGCTTGGCACGTCCCTCCAGGCCATGGCCACGCCTCCCTTATACAGTCCCGTGACGCCATGCTGTCTCACAACATGTCTTATACAGTCTAGGGGACCCTTGAATGCTTTCTGCTTCCCTAAACATAAAATTGTTCGTGAAAAAAAAATTAAAAACATAACATGGAGGTTTCGGAGATTAATGTGATTTCTTAAGAATTAAGAAGTATACTTGTGAAGCATTGTGTATAGGGTTGTATGTACCTGAGTCGGCGGCGTCCCTGGGAATCTGTGACTGTAGCACCACCTTGACGTAGTCTGTGGGTATAACTGGGATCAGCTGGGCGGCCCCTCCCGCGCACCCCGCCAGGTAAATGTTCAGGTAGGAGGACTTCCTCATTGCCCTGTCATCCTCTAAAAACTTCAGGGTGTTACCATAAACACCGAAGTAGACAGAGTTCACAACGCCGTACGACAACAGAGGCGTGGACATCCCACGGAAGAAACCGTGAACCTGTAAATTACACAAACAGCAACTCAAAGAGACCATATTCTTCTTATCCGGAACTGTAACATAATTTCAGACTAACTGAGCTAAATCGAAAAGATGAATCAAAAATATAACTTGATTTTACCCATCCAGTTTTGTTGATATTGAGCGCTGCGGATATAGTTCCACTGTAACGCTTGTCGTGTAGCTGTGTTTGGAGCTGAACCTTCAATAAAATAAACCAGAATGTTATGTTTCAATAAAATTGTTTCACAAAATCACAGATATCTGAATTAGTTATACTTAAGAATGAAGTTTCACCTTAGTCGTGTCAAATGGATGGCCCACGATTATACCTGCCATACCTACAATTCAAACACAGAAATCAAATCTTAGAAACTGATCTTTGTGTCTACATGTACTTGCTTTAAATTCTTTTCCATTATTAGAATTTTTTTTATTTACTAATTCAAACCTCCAATTGCCCCAGCTATATAGTCATGGAGCACATGTTCGTTAATGATGGGTGCGTCACGTGGTTCCATGACGTCACTTCCAACGTCTGCCATGTTTTGTACAAGTAATGGACGATTTTAATCATTGACCTCTAGTCCTCCGCATGATCTCGTTTCTTGAAGTTAAAAAGAAAAAAAAAACATAGACAAAAAGTTTAGAGTCAAACTAAGCAAGGCAGTGATCCCGCCACCAAAACTTTAATTTTCATCCCTTTTGGGAGAAAAAATGATTTCAATCCAGGTTACATGCACAGTAACCTGAGTGTAATTTTGCTTCTACGGCTTTGCGAAATGGTATTCGAATCATTATCGGACTGTCTTACTTTTTAGAAAATATATATAAGTTGTAAATCTCAATCTCAAGGCGATTTTAGGAATATATATTTAGTTCTTTAATGGTAATATTTTAAGATGATGCGTTTGATTCTCGTGTAACCTGACCTTTTACCGTTTATTAGAATTTGTTCACTTGACATAACTATCAACACCGGTGTTATGCTATGATCATTTCTTTAAAGTCATATATTTTTTTTAATTTTACCTTCTCCACATTAGTTATCCTATATAAAAACTAGGGTCTGTTGGTACAGGACAATACTTTGGACAAATGTCTATGAAACTGAAGCAATATTCAGATGGCAAACAAACTAAAAAAAGACTTGATCCGCTTCCTGTTTTCTATAAAAAGGAGCGGATCAAACGATACATAACACCCGGTATTGGTTCTGTCATACACGTGCGTATTGATTTGTTTCAATCAACGAGGCGATATATTAAGACAAAAAGAATTTGCACATTTTACCAATTTTCGTCTTGTTACACGATAATTAATACAATATACTGATCGAACCGCAATCTCTCAATCAATTAAATACACACACTTACTAGATTTCTCCTGTCACTTTATTTTGCAAGACCCCCACTTCCGGCTCAAAGTCTGACTTGGGAGGATAAATACACTACAATCGTTCATAGATACAAACTCTGGTCAAGCGTAGATCAAACCTGCTAATGAAGGGACATATTGTAAAAACGGCAAAGTTTCTATATCCGCCCCTGTGTCAGTCTAGTCGTGTAGTTTATACATACCCTGGGTCATCGTGATAAAGCGCTTTGTGTAAACACTGTCAGTAGTTAGTTTAAATGCCTTCATGAAAAGAATTTCTTTTGAGTTTTGTTTAAAGCCATAGCATGGAATTATATTCTTTGGAAACTATAATTGATGTGCCTCAGTCTATATATTCTACAGAACCCATGAGTTCATGTTTTATATGTTTGCATGATGATACAAATATAACTTGATTGATGTTCAATATCTTACTGAATATACAAAGTTAAAAATAGATCAGTTTTGAGTAAATAATTACTATCTTGACAACAATAAAAGTCCGAAATCAAAGGACTTTTGGTCCCAAGTCCATAAACTGAGAACAGATTTAAAAGTAAAAATTTCAAATTTATTATAATTCTTGAAAAAGTTTGGTTATGAAACAAAATTCTTAACATTTGTATATTACACACAAACCTACATTTTATGCACATATATATGTTAGAAAGAACCCAAAGATCAGTATCCAAAATCAAAAATTAGACTTAAGTCTGTTCTCAGTTTATGGTGTAGGTCTGTCCTGCTATTAAACCTTGCTTAACAAACAAAGGCAGCTATGTGCAGAAGGAGAACGTCTATAATCACTCTTGTTAGGAAATGATGATTAAGAAACTGTGACCAGCCCAAAATAACAGAATTTTTTTCATAACTGCTTTGTAAATGTAACCAAAAAATCTAAGTAGTTAAAATTAAGCCTTGCAAGATCAATTTGTTTGCCATTAGACTTTCTCAATTTAAAAATCTTAACGTGCTCAGACCCTATATATATATATATATATATATATATATATATATATATATATATATATATATATATATATATATATATATATATATATATATATATATATATATATATATTCCCGGAATCGGGTGAGTGCCATTGATACAATATAGAGGTGTTACTTGAATATAATTGAATAAATAGTTATAAAATAATAAAAAGTACGATAAAAACATTTCATTGCATTTGCCTCATAGTTGATAGTTGGCGATAGTCAGTAAAAAAAGGCATAAAGGTTGCAGGTTGTAAGGTGTCTTTTATTTTCGGTATATCGAGCTAACGTAAGACTGTGCATGATTTTTTTTTTTTTTTTTTTTTTTTTTACATCCAATTGTCGACTGGAAAGCAAAAATTATCTTCTTTCTTGTAGAAGATTTTAAATAAATTCTGTTTCGAATGAACATTGAAAAAAGAAGTGAATTATATGCATCCTTTTCGATGAAATATTTAAAAAATTATCTTAACACATGCCAACTAATCGATATGAGTTTTGAAGACATTGATCGAAAATCAAATCGGAAGAAGAAAAGAATCTATATGACAATGTAAAAGAGGATGCTTTTGAAAAATATAACGGCAATAAAAGTTAACACGACGAGCCTTATAACTTAAGCTACAAACAATGGATCGGGTTTTAAAAGAATCATTACATAAACATTACTGGTGTAAAATGAATGTTAGGCTAATGGAAAAATCTTTTGGTCACATAAATAAATTATTACGCTTATACACGGAGCATTGAATATATGTATTTATAAATAATTTAACTTTTTCTGAAAAAAGAATCCTGCTTGAACATTAAGACGTATAACCAAAGCAGATAATTCACGATAAACCGTATGATGAATTTCAGTTAAAAACTTAGTACCAACCCGATACATTTGATTAACTAATAAATATTCTTGGAATATAAAAGAATACCGGTAAAATAAACTTTGAGTTCCGCATGAGCGAAAGAATACGTCCATCATATCCAATCAAACTATTTCCTGAATCACACCGTGCTTCTCTCATCCAATTACACCATGCTTCTATCATATCCAATCACATCATGCTTTTCTCATACAATCACATTATTCTTCTCCCAACCCATTACATGTGCTACTCATCTAATCACAACAGTCTTCTCTCATCCAATCATAACATGCTTCTCCCATCCAATCACATTTTTTTCTCATCCAGTCGTATCCTGTTTCCCTCATCCAATCACGTCGTTCCTCTCGATCTAATCAAATCATACGATGCTTCTCCCATTCAATCACAGCATGCTTCCCTCTACTAATCATATGATGTTTCTCTCATCCAATCATAAGATGCTTCTCTCATATCCAATCACACCATGCTTTTCTCATCCAATCAAAAGATGCTTCTCTTATTTAATATCTTCATTCTTCTCACATCAAATCATACGATGCTTCTCTCATCCAATCACATCATGCTTCTCTCATCCATGCTTTTCATCCAATCATACCATGCTTCTCTCATACAATCATAACATGTTTGTCATTTCCAATCATATCATGCTTCTCTCATCCAATCATTTCGTGTTTTTCTTAACTAATCACTTCATGCTTCTCTCATCCAATCACATCATGTTTCTCTCATCTGATCACATCATGCTTCTCTAATCCAATCATTTTATGCTTCTCTCATCCAATCACATCATACTTCTTTCATAAAATCACACCATGTTTCTTTTATCCTTCACATCATGTTTCTCACATGCAATCATATCATGTTTCTCTCATCCATATATATCATGCATCACTCTTCCAATCAAACATGCTGTTTTGCAAGTGAGTTAAGGCTAAATATGACAAGGCTAAATATAAGGCAAAGTAAGCTATGCCCTTGCACTTAAGCAATATTGTTGATGTTCCTTATAAACATGTGTAGTAGAAGTTGATGACGTCATAATTTGACGTCATAATATGCACTGGCAATTTCATGTCGTGAATAAACAAAGAATGTCTCAGAAAACAAGTCTTAATTTTTTCTGTGCGGTAAGTATAGGATTTATGGGTTTTAACAAGAGATTTTGCTTAGAAACCCCACATACTTAGCCTTTATTCACTTGCGTCTCATCCAATCACTTCATGCTTCTCTCATCCAATCACATCATGCTTCTCTCATCCAATCACATCATGCTTCTCTCATCCAATCACACAAAGCTTCTCTCATCCAATCACATCATGCTTCTCTCTCATCCAATCACAGCATTTTTTGAATCACAACATGCTTCTCTCATCCAAACACATCATGCTTCTCTAATACAATCACACCATGCTTCTTACAACATGCTTCTCTCATCCGACCATACCATGCTTCTCTTATCCAATCATACCAAGATTCTCTCATCCAATCACATCATGCATTAATTCCTACATCCAATCAAATCATGCTTCTCTAATCCAATCAGGACATGCTTCTTTCATCCAACCATATCATGCTTCTCTCATCCAATTATACCAAGCTTCTCTCATCCAATCACATCCTTCATCTCTTATCTAATCACATCATGCTTCTCGCATTCAACCCTTTATGCTTCTCTCAGCCAATCATTTCATGTTTTTCTTAACTAATCACTCGATGCTCTCTCATCGAATCACATCATGCTTCTCTCATCCAATCATTCCATGTTTCTCTTTTCTATTCACTCTACTGTAAATCACTTTTTATTCGCGAGAACTTTATTTTCGCGTAATTAGGTGAGGCAGTGTGCTCGCGAAAATTTAATTCTCGCGTATAATAGTATTCCTCAAGATAAGATAGAGTATTAACCACAATTCGCAAAAAAAAAAATTCGTCTCGCTAATAAAGAGTCAATGACTATCTCGCGAAAATAAGGTGTCGCGAAAATTTAGTGATCTACAGTATATCATGCTTCTCTCATCCAATCACATAATGCTTCTCTCATCTGATCATTTTGTGTTTTTCTTAACTAATCACATCATGCTTCTCTCATCCAATCATTTCATGTTTTTCTTAACTAATAACTTGGTGTTCTCTCATCCCATCACATCATGCTTCTCTTATCCACTTAGTTTGTCTGCTTAATATACAGGGGAGGAATACTATTTAAAGTATGAAATTTTAACAAAATGGTAAAAAGAGCCTCACTTTAGCACCAAAACACCTGTTCCTCGGGCCATGAAATTCACAATTTTGTATGTATTGACATGCAGGAGAATATGACATTAATTTTGATGCTATTAGTTC